AAGGATATTTTTCCATTGATTTTTTTCAGATAGAGTGGGAGTGGGGGAGAGAGAGAGAGAGAGAAACATCAATGTGAGAGAGACAGACCAATCATTGCCTCCCTCATGACCTCAAGCGGGGCCAGGGATCAAACTTGAGACTCTAGTCCAAGGGTTAATGCTCTCACTGCTGAGTCCAACCGGCCAGGATGAGGTTATCTTTTTTGCCAGTCAGAGAGCCATTAGTCAACATAAGTTCCCAGTGTCTGGGCTCTAATAAAATAGTAAACAGCAGAGTCTAGCAGTGCACTCTGGATAACTGCATATCTCTTAGACAGCCTTGTGGGACAAGGACATTGGCAGGACAAGTGGTCGCTCCCCTGCCTTCTTTCCAAGTTTGGGATGATTTTTTCTTAACAATATTGTCCTTTGCTTCAAGTTTGTGGTGAGGGTCAAATGAGAACATTTTGAAATGCTTTGTAAACCTTAAGGTGCCAAATACAGCTTCATGACTGTAGTTGTTTCACAAAGCCCCTTGAATAATCTATTGGAACCGACCCTGATGTGGGGAGGAAGTTAATTATTGAATATCCCTCTCTTTTTTTTTTTTATCCTCACCCGAGGACATTCCTCCATTTTTTGTACAGATAGAGTGGGAGGGAGAGAGAGGAAGGGAGAGAAACATCGACGTGAAGGGACACATCGAGTGGCTGCCACCCGCACAACCAACCAGGGCCGGGGACAAACTGCAACCGAAGTACGTGCCCTTAGCGGGAACCGAACCCGGGTCTCTCCGGACCACAGGGCCAACGCTCTAACTGCTGAGCCAAACCGGCCAGGGCTGAATATCCCTCTCTTAAACTGTTGTTTGATCTCACTGAATTCTTACAAAAATACTGAAAAGACAGAGAATCTGCTTTAGTTCTGTCTGTAAGATTGTAGTAACAATAGTACATAATTCACTGGGCTCCTGTGTGAATTGATGAGGAATACCAACTCACTGCTAAAAACAATGCCTGGTTTACAGTAAATACATAGGAAATGTTGGTTCACTAAAGCACTTAACCTGTTATATCTCCTGAAGTTTAATTTTCTTTAATACCAATATATTTGATTTCTAGACGTTCTATTGAATTCTTAGTATTTTCATGAATCTGCCTTTATTTTGAAAAATAATGCATTATTCTTGTCTCATGTTTTAAATCCTTTTGTCTTTAATCTTTCTAAACAAATGTATAGTCTGTCTTCAATGCTGTTATAAAACCGTTATGTAAAATGTGGGTCTAATCCTGCCATTTGTTGTGTCTACTGATTCTCACAGGGATTGTGTCTTCATTTTTTTCTAATTAAAAGATTTGCCTGCTGCCTACACTCCATATATACTCTAGTAAAAATAATCATAGTTCCTTCCATTAGTTTTTAAAATCATAGCTTATTAACTAGAGATGGTTGACTTCTTCAGACCAATTGAATGCAGAGAAACTCATGGTGCCATCATAGCCTTGTGAACACAATATCCTCCTTTTCTAGATTTTTACTTTACATATTTACTTGCAATTTGGCCCAAGTCCCTGCTGGAATCATCTGTTTTAAGCTTTGGGGTTTCCCCCTTACCCTGGACACTAGTACTAATTTTGATCAATGTCCTATTATGTAATGAAAGCATAACTCTGGGCCAGCTACTGCTTTTCTGAGTCTCAGTTTTCTTCTTTGTAAAAAGGGGATGGTAATAGGGATGTAGAAATTTTAATTATTGTGCCCTCTGTCAACTTTTTTTTTTTTTATCCTCACCCGAGGATATTTTTCTATTTTTTTTGTACAGATAGAGTGGGAGGGAGAGAGAGGAAGGAGAGAGAGAGAAAAACATCGACGTGAAGGGACACATCGAGTGGCTGCCACCCGCACGACCGACCAGGGCCGGGGACAAACTGTAACCGAAGTACGTGCCCTTAGCAGGAACCGAACCCGGGTCTTTCCAGACCGCAGGCCGACGCTCTAACCGCTGAGCCAAACTGGCCAGGGCTCAACCTTTTTTTTTTTAACTTTTGATGTCTTTATTGATTTTTAGAGAGAGAGGAAGAAAGAGGGAGAGAGAGAGATAGAAACATCGATGAGAGAGAACATTGATTGGCGCCTCCTGCATGTCCCCCACTGGGAATGGGGCCCACAACTGGGCATGTGCCCTGACCAGGAATAGAACCTCTTGGTACATGGGTCAATGCTCCACCACTGAGCCACACCAGTTGGGCCTCTGTCAACCCTTACCGGTATTGTTTTTCTTTGTACTAACCTTTTCCCAATAATATTTATGCTCCCAAATCAAATGCAGCCTGATATTACGACCATCTTAACCACACAGTCACTGTTAACTCCGTGCCCTGTCCAGAGTGTCCCACTAACCCAATTGTCTCTGGCCCATTCATCCTCATTTCTTCTGGCCCTCTTGCTCCTTATTCACACCATGCTTGTTCACTCTCCACTTAATGGCTTTTCTCAGTCTCCACAACCCTTTTCCTTTTGGCCTCTAACTAAATCATCTCTCCATCCTTTAGAGCACAGTTCAAGTTCCATGTCCTTTAAGAAGGCTTCTGACCAAATTTAATATGCATGATTATCTTTTGAATTAAAAAAAAGGCTCTATGGAGAGGAACATGGACTGCAGCTTTCTCAGGATTTGATGGCTTCGTTCACGGTGTGGTCGTGGGTGTCGTCCTAATGAGACTGAACATTTTCCAACAGGTAAGGGACACGGCATGCTGCCAATGTGTGGATACTACCACCAGGTTCAAGTCAGTGCTCTCATGTATTTTTAAGTTTTGGCTTTTTAGCATATATGTGGTGGGAATTTGGGGCCTGGCTTGTGTCCCTCCAGAGAGGACTTCTCTTTGTTTCTGACGAGTGCTCCTTGGTCTCCAGCCTGGGACCACTTTGCTGTTAATTTTTCAGATTGGGGGCTCAGAAAAAATTCCAACCCCAACCCAAGTGAGGGGACTTGTGGTTAGGAATTCCATGGTGTTTTGAAGTGGGAGCTATAGGAGGAATGGAAACTTGAGGGCAAAGGCGGGGTGTGTGTGAGGGGGTGTGGGGGGTGGCAAACCCTTGGATTTAATGGGCTCCCTTTGGTGTTACCCTGTGGTAAGCCAGGAGCACAAGCTGTGATGTAGCAGTTCTTTAGGACACACGTGGTTCTGTTGCTACAGTTTTCAGTCCTTAGGAAGAAGTGGAAGAGGTATGCTGTCCGCATGGTACAGAAACAGAGTGGAAGCTGGGAGGACACTGGGATGGGACCTAGGTCCTCTGGGAACTCGATCCTGCTTTGCAAAAGAGATGAGATGATGAACCCTCATGACAGGAAGGCAGGTGATTTTCATCCAGACATGATTGCCCAGTTCCCACACCTGTTTCTGGACCTCTCCACTTCCCCGACAGCTTGGACCCTATCTCAGCTCTCCACGGAGGAGACAAGAACTCATTTTCATGTGTGCGGTATCTGAGAGTCCCAGAGCATTTTATATACACTTCTTGTTTCCCAGCAGGGCTGTGCGGCCATCAGCATGGGCACTTGGCGTCCATCTTTGCAGATGAGGTAGCTGAGAGGCGAGCTCAGGCTGGTGATAGGGTTTGTGCCGGAGGCCACACACCCAAAGGGTACGTCTGGAGCTCTGACTCGCATTCTTTGTCATCCGAGCTATGGGATCAGAGGTACTCAGAATGCAGATGATCATGGATTCGTTTTGTTCCTACAATTAGCCATTTTATTTTATTTTTTTTCCTCACCCAAGGACATTTTTCCATTTTTTGTTCAGATAGAGTGGGAGGGAGAAAGAGGAAGAGAGAGAGAAACATTGACATGAAAGGGACACATCAAGTGGCTGCCACCCGCACGACCAACCAGAGCCGGGGACAAACTGCAACCAAGGTATGTGCCCTTAGCGGGAACCGAACCCGGGTCTCTCCAGACCGCAGGCCGACGCTCTAACCGCTGAGCCAAACCGGCCAGGGTTACAATTAGCCATTTTAAAGTGAACAAGTTAGTGGCATTTAGCGCATTCACAATGTTGTGCAACCATCACTTCTATTTTCAAAACTTCTGCATCCCCCGCCTGGGTTTTTGTGCAAAATTAAAGGAATCACCTGGGTAAGACGTACAGCCCAGGGCCTTGCCCCCAGTGGGGGCCCGAACTATCAGACTCTCCAGCTCTCTCTCAGCAACCTGGTGATGTCGACGGGGGAAGTCTCCCCTAAGTTTAGTACCTGGAGACAACCAGTTTGAGAATGCGTGAAGTATTCATGCCACAATCTTTTTATTTTTCTAAAATGACATTTCAAAATTGCCCTCGCCCAGGAGGCTTCCCAAGGAAGTCTTCCTAGTTTTGAGAGCATCCCGACACGTTTACCCACCGATGGCCCGGTGCTGAGTTACACTGTCCCCGAGCTTCTTGTCTTTGGAAGGAGTCTGTCTTCTTGGCCAGGTAGCTCACAGCCTTGGAGGCACCACAGGGCTCTATGTGGTCCTGGGTACAAAACATGACTATGACAGGCACGTGTTGGATTGTATTGGATGGTGTCCAGCCAGCTCCCAAGTTCGAGCTACCGCCTGGTGACCAGTGCTCTCCCCACTTTTGAAGCAGTGGGTTTGGTGACTGCGGAGCTGCTCGTCCAGCGCGGGGCTGGGGCCCGGCAGGGGTCGGTCTGGCTCTGGGCGGCCATCGCGTGGGCAGCTCTGGCTGAGAAGACATGAAGGGCTCTAGCTCCCCCACCTGCACAGCACATCAGAGGGAAGGGGAGAGCTTCACCTTAAGCAGGTTAACCCAAGAATAGAGCGGCTTCGGCCTTTATTTAAAATTGCCAATTCCAGGAGCATAAACCCTAGGCCTCTGTAAGTCATGAGGTCCTTTTGGTGGCCTACGTCACCAGGTGTTGAAGCAAGTGCTCTGCGGTGGTCAGGGGTGGCTAAAGTAGAGGGCTGGTGAGGGCTGGTGTGGCTGGGGCATTTCGGACGAGTGCCCACACGGCTGGGCCTAGAAGCTCATAGTGGTCAGGCTGATGGGAGCACTGTCCCTCTGGCGACCTCTCATGGCTCTCCATGCCACCATCGCGCCGACGCCAACTGCAAGGCCACCCCCGGCCGCCACCGGCACGGCCCAGGAGAGCACCTTGGGGTCTGTTTCAGTCTGGTCCTGGAGCAGCCTGCTGTTCCGCAGGGTGTGGAGGTAGGGGCTCTCCTGCGGAGGATGAGAGGGTTGGGGGCCTCGGAAAACCATCATCTGCCCACCTTAGGCTTGCTCATCCCCAGCCGGAGACGCTCCCACAGCCTTGCTCATGCTCCCAGCTCCTCCTCTGTCAGCTCCTTCATCTCCACTGTGCCCAGGTCTTCTGGAGGAGGGGGCTTATCCAAAGTGGTCCCTGCCCAGCTCAAACCTCCTGTGTCTTGCCAGCACCTTCATTCCCGTCGACCCGATTTTGAAAGAGTGGGAACTGACAGGTGACCAATGAAAGAGTGCTGGGGAGCTGGCAGAGCCCCAACCCTGTTTCTTCTAGGCCACTCCTAGACTACTGTCCCGTCCTCCCACCCCGGGAAGCCTGGGGACAGAGAAGTTCGGTGTGGAAGGCAGTGGGCTCTGCAGTAGATTAGAGAACCAGAAGGAGAGGGGCCAGGAGAGGTGTGGGCCCGCCTCCCGGAGCCCGGCTCCCTTCCAGGGAGCACTGAGTGCCGCCGTGGGGCGCCCTGTGCTGGGGGCTGTGAGCACCCCTCATCGCCCCAGTAGGAGGTAAGACGTGAGGAGACGCCATCACCTCGCGGAGCAGCCTGTCAGTGTCTGGGAGGGGTACACAGAAAAGAGAGGCCAAGACAGGGGTGCGGAACGTTAGGGTGAGATAAGGTGGAATGTAGCCCAGACAGGATGTGAAATTTTCCACAGCGGAGTGGGGGGTGGGCCTCCAGGGGAGCAGATGGCAGGGGTGAAAGCAGAGACACGGGCAGTCGTGGGGCTCGACTGGGCGCTGCTCATTTTCAGGAGCAGAGAGTGTCTGAGGCCACCGAACAGTGTCCGAGGCCACCGAACAGTGTCCGAGGCCACCGAACAGTGTCCGAGGCGCCTCTCTTCAATGGGCAGCGGGAGCCAGAAGGGTTTCAAGTAGTCTTGACAACACTGGAGTTACTCCCATGTCTGCAGTGACTGCAGGGTGGGTGGAGAGGGGCGAGGAGAGCTGGGGAGAAGGGGGGACCTGGCCAGGGGGCCGGGGACAGCAGTGTGGCCTGCAAAGGGGCAGCGGCGGAGAGGGAGCAGAGGCTGCGTCTCATTTCTCTTTGCCTCCCAACCCCGTCCTAGTGGCTGCCTGGCTCGGGAGAGCGCCTCAGCCTGCTTCAGAGTGTGGCTCAGACCCTCAGGTAGCCGGCGAATCCCCGAGTGCCTCTTCCCACCCAGGTTGGGATCGGCGAATCCCCGAGTGCCTCTTCCCACCCAGGTTGGGATCAGCGAATCCCCGAGTGCCTCTTCCCACCGAGGTTGGGATCAGTGAATCCCCGAGTGCCTCTTCCCACCGAGGTTGGGATCGGTGAATCCCCGAGTGCCTCTTCCCACCGAGGTTGGGATCGGCGAATCCCTGAGTGCCTCTTCCCACCGAGGTTGGGATCGCTGCTTTCCCCCGCCCCACCCACGGCTGCCCCCACTCGCAGGGGAATGAGGAGAGGTGGGATCGGAGAATGTGGCAGGGAAGGAAGGTGCGTGATGTCAAAGCCTCCAGGGGGTTTTGTGTCTCCAGGTGGCTGTATCGCCCCCACCCCCACCCCCTGTTCCACACTGCACAGGCAGGACCTGTACTCACAGGAGAGGGACACTTGAGTTTGGTTCGGCTGTAGGTGAAGTTGTTGGAGGTTGTCTTGTGGCCCACTGGTTCCAGCTGACGAGAGAAGAAGGAATCCCTGAGCCCCTCTGAAGCTGGGGGAGACCATTCTGTCGGGGGGAGACTCTCACACCAGACTCCCTCCTTTCCAAGACTGAAACCAGCAAAGAGGCAAGAACCACAGCAGATACCAGCCGCCCAGGACCAGAGCTGGACCTCCCCTGGCGCGCAGAGTGCCAGGTCCATCAGAGCAGGTGGGCCCCGAGTCTGTGTCCTGGATTTACCGAGGCCCGAGAGAGACCGACCCGTCTGGAGGCCACAGTGAGTGGAAGTCAGCGCCCAGAACCTCCATTTCCTGTTTCCCTTCTGGGTGGCTGTGATCACAGACACTCTGCATTTTCAGTTTATAAAATGGTGATAATCATATTGACCAACTTCTTGAAGTGTGTGGGGCTAGTCAATTTCAGGAAAACTTTAAAAACACATTGGTCACTGTTACACACATTGGTTACCATGGCACTGTTACTACGCTCAGCTTGTCAACCTCAAGAAATTGGCTTTTCTCACTCGAGCATCTTTGTATGTCTTTCCCGTTGATAAAAAGATTTACTCAAAACATTCCTGGGAGCAATTGTGGTTCAGAGAGGTTCTGCTTAATACTTTTGATCCTGGGCCCCTTGGAGAATGAGCTGGAAGCTGCTGGACACCACCCAGCATCTTTAGCCAGTGGCCGGCCCCCTGACATGTGGCCAGCTCCAAGAAGGATGGACACCTATTCAGACTGTCCTGAACATCTGGCCTCCACCATCTTACGATCTGTGTCCCTGCCTGTTCCTGACCCCCCAGGTACTGTGAGTAAATGAGAAGGCTCTGTGCCAGCTGATGACTACACCTGGCTCGTGGTCTTGTTTCTTGTTGACTTAAAGCCTTTATACCTGTTCCTTAGCAACACAGTTAGAGGAGGAAGGGCTGCTCGGGCCCTGGGAGAGACACCGTGGTGGCTGGACAGGGGGCACATCGGCTGGGGTCCTGGCTCTGCTGATGAGGATCTGTACGACGCCAGGCTGGCTCCTGCACTGTCCCAAGGTTAGGGGCAGGACATCAAACCCTGTCCTGACAACTCCCCACTGGGTTGTTGTGAGCATCAAATGAGAAGGTAGAACGAAAGAGGTGAGGGCAGGAGGTGGCTTGCATATGTAAGATGGTGCTCTTTCTACTTCACGCTGTTGTAACAGAACCACCTAGTGACAGATGGATGCTAAAGGCCGGTCGGATGATCCCCAGTGATATTCCAGGAACCCAGACACTAAGTGGTGCAGAGGAAGATAATGACCATTTGAGTTTGGTGACTGCATGGGTTTCTCCCTGTGTACTGGTTCCTTGCTAGCAGAGCACAACCTACTGTCTCCCATGCATAACTGCCCTCTCCTTGACCGCACATCCCTTCCAGGGACCTTTGCCTGTACTTCTCACACTCTGGGGAGAGTTGTTCGTAGTCGCTGACTGTACTTCCCGGTCTCCCCTTTTCTCTAACACCCATTGCAATCAGCCTCCAGTCTCCTCACTTCACTGGAGCTCTGGTCAGTCACCAGCGGCCTCCATATTGCCAGATCCAGCGGTCACTGTTTTTTGTATTTGTCTTGTTTGACTTTTCAGTGACATTTGTCAAAGTTGATGCCTCCCTTTCAAATCACTCCCTTCTCTGGCTCCCTGGAAACAGCACTCTCCTGGTCCCCACACCCTCCATCGTCCTCTGTCGCTGGTGTCAGAAGCTGTAATGAAATGAATGTCCTAGGACTTGGTAGTTAGTCCTACACTCTTTTCCCACCTACTCTTTCTCTAGGTGCTCTTAGTTAAACCATGGTTTTGAATACCGCCTTTATGCTAATGACACCCACAGCTTTTCCTAAATCTCCATCCCTGACCAAACTCTCTGACCTCCAGACTCATATATTAAACAGCTTATCTGACAACACCAGGTGCATATCTGGAAGGCATCTCCAACTTACCACGTCCAACATAGAACTTGGACCTTTCCCTCCCAAGCCTACTTCTCCCTACCACCTCAACCATTGCCCCAATTTCCTCAACTCCAAACTGAGGAGTCAGCCTTTATTCCTTTTTTACCTCATCCACCAATCAGTGTAAAACATATCCCACATCTGACCACTCTCTTCTCCTCCATGCCATCACCCTGGTCCCAGCCACCTTCACCTCCACCTAGACTCCAGCAGCCTCCTAATGGTCTTTCCAGTTCCGTTCTTGCTTCCTTCTAGTCCATCGCTACTCAACAGCCCGAAGGTAGACTGGCTCATACAGCTTGAGCCATCCAAGGACCGGCCCCGCTCACCTCTCTGACACTGCTCCCTTCCTTGCAGCCACGCTGGCCTTACACAGCTTGTTTCTCCATTCTCCTGCTGTGGACACTGGGCATTGGGAATAGAGCCGCTGTGGAAAGTCTGTGTGGCGAGCCCCTGTGTTCCTTTCTGATGGGAATATACCCAGGAGTGGAATTGTCGGGTCACAGGGAATCCACATGTTCAAAGTGGTTGTAGGCATACATTGTTTTTAAAAGTCTCCAGATGATTCTACTCTATAGCCAGAGCTGAGCGTTGCTGTTGTAGGGGCTGTAAGCCTGGAGACAGGGACACCCATCGGGAGGCTGGCTGTCACCCAGCACCTGGGGAGATGCAAATAGTAGCCGAGAGTGGGATTTCGACAGGAGGGAGCAACTGGTGGTGAAGGACTAGGCATCAGAAAAAAAAGAAGAAAAAACTTAATAAGAAGACAAAAGAATAAAAAGGAAGAGAAAAACATTTCCTGACACTGCTAATATTTCTAGCCTTGCAAGTCTCTGGAAGAAGCATAAAGCGTGCTTGCTGCCACAGCAGGGTGCCCTGGGAACATCAGCCAAAGTCCGCAGACACTATGTCATAGGCCTCTAAGCAGGAGACATGAACTCACCGGTTACAAATGTGCTCATCTGGTTGGGAGCGGAGAGGCCAGGTGGTGCTGTGTCCAGAACACTGGGCAGTTCGACCTGGGTTCTAACCACTGCTCTGCCACTAGCTGGTTGTGTGATTTTGGGCAAATTGCTTCATGTCTCCGTGTTGTAGTTATAGAGCATTCTGGCTAGATGACCTCTAAGAGCCTATTATTTATTTTATATCACTCCAGGGGTGAAATCCCAGTAAGAAAATACTCTGCAAAGTTGGCGTGATGCAATCGCTTTATATCCGAGATGGTTTTGGATGAAGACACTGGACTATATAATTATTTCCCCCAATTATATAGCACAGGATAAAATATTCTTAGATGACTTTAGTTCAGTTTTACTTTGTTCTTAAAATTCAAAGTATGGCCCTGGCCGGTTAGGCTCAGCAGTTAGAGCGTCGGCCTGCGATCCAGAGAGACCCGGGTTCGGTTCCTGCTAAGGGCACGTACCTCAGTTGCGGTTTATCCCCGGCCCCGGTTGGGTCGTGCAGGTGGCAGCCACTCGACGTGTCCCTTTCACGTTGATGTTTCTCTCTCTCTTTCTCCCTCCCACTCTATCTGAACAAAAAATGGAAAAATGTCCTCGGGTGAGGATAAAAAAAAAAATTCAAAGTATGGCTGGGACATTGATGGGTGGGGAGCCACGGGCAGGCTTGTAGCTCATATTTATAAAAATATGGCTCGGTGGCAGTGTGCACCTTTTGTTTCAGACCTAAACCCCTCCCACATGCCTTTGTATAGAGCCTCTCACCTGGGTTAATGGGGGAGATACTGAGCTGCTTTAGAAGAGGGGCCAGAAGTACCCCCTTAATTCACTCAGGAAGAGACCAATGGACACCATCACTCTTGAGTCATCAAGCCCCAGCTGACTCCGTACACTAAGCGGGCTCGAACGGCACCAGGTAGAAAGACCATACGCTGAGGGAAATGCTGGGAAGGAAAGGCTAAGGGCTAGAGTTCTGGAACCATCTTGGAATGGTCCCCCTGAGATCTCAGGGGATAAGCAGGATTGTGAATAGATACCCATTTCCGGGGGAGGGAGGCACTAAAAGGAATGAAGTCACATGACCCGCCACTGAGGGGCAACTACTGGACTTTAATTTATTTCTTTTCTTTTTCTTTTGTTTTAAATCCTCACCCGAAGCCATTTTTTTTCCTGTTTATCCTCAGACAGAGTGGGAGGGAGAGAGAGAGAAACATCGATGTGAAAGGGACACATCAACTGGTTGCCTCCCACATGACCCTGGCGGGGGATGAACTGCAACCGAGGTACATGCCCTTGACCCGAATCGAACCCTCGACTCATTGGTCTGTGGGCCGATGCTGGACCGCTGAGCCAAACCGTCCAGGGCTAATTTATTTCTTTTGTAGATTTTTATTTAGACTGTACAAACCTGGATTAAAAAATTACTGTGTGGAGGTTGGGTGGGAGGGGACCTTAAGATGTTTTGATTGAAATGCTGAGTCCCGGGCTGAGAGTGTGATGAAAGATGTAGGAGTGGGCAGAATGTGATGCCAACAAAAGGAAAACAAAAGTAGAGGAAGGCTGAGTCTGCAGTGAAGTAGGCCAAGGATAAAACCTGCTTACACGCTGTGCTAAGAAGAGAAGTCAACACAGTGAGTCAGCCGACTGAGATACGAGGCCTGTGGGATGAGTTGACAGGTGTGGGAATATTTGCACGATAGTGGTTGGCAGGGACACTGTGGGCTAAACAGAAGTAAAAGGCGCAGGGGTGCAGACTGTTCAGTCACCAACGGAGAAACGAGGGAACATGCACGTGGGGTGGGGACTGGGTTATCTCCTGACACTGGATCAAAAGAAGCCAGTGGATTGGAAAGGCATTTCATTGCTCTGTGCAAATGTAGCTGGTTGTTCAGTAGTGAGTAGCCAGCCACAGAGGGCAGAGGCAAGGCGGGGTTCCTGTATAAAGTCCCTCTGACCACCTTAAGAGAGGATGAGGACAGGTGGGAGCCGGGGAACACAGGCTGGGGGGCTCTTTTCTTTTTGCAGTTTAAAGAAATAATAGTTGGGAATGTGTTGAGACTGGAGTGATGGGGCTGACATTTGTTGAATGTTAATTATTGTGCTGGGTGTTATTCACACATTACCTCAAATTTCTGAGATCTGTGTCATGTTCATTGTTTTTACAGAAGTTGATACAGATGACCAGAGAGAGATCATTTGCCCCAGGTCACACGGGAAGGGGTTGAAGATGTTCTTTTCCTCCAGTCTATCTGATTCCAAAGTTATCCACCCACAGTACTGGGGCAATACCGAAAGAACCAAATGTGTCAGGACAAATGTGTGCTGCCTTTGAGTTTGGGGAGGAAGGCACTATGCGGCCAGTGGGCGTTGGTGTCAGCGTCCTGGGGTTGCCTCTTGACACAGCCCGCTGGGCCCTCCGGCACTCACCATGTTGTTCCAGAGTGCGATGGCCATCTCGGCGTGACCACGCTCTGAGAAGTGGAAACAGTCTTCGGAGAAGAAGGTCAGGTCAGCTCCTCCTCTCTGTGACCAAAGGCGAGGGGATTATCTTTCCGGGACAAGGGCACCGCTACCTGCCCCCCACCCGCCTAGCAGGTGGCCTGGGCCTCTCTCCTTTCATCTCTGCCGACAACTGCTCAGATATTGATGGAGAAATTCCCCCGTTTTTGGATATTTATTTTTTAAAGAGGCATGAATCCTAGCCAACCACAGTTTATCCTTTTCCTTCAGCATCCCGGCCCAAATAACTGAAAAAGAATAACATTTTTAGGAAGATTTCCATTCTGTCCCAGTCCAGGAAATAGCAGGGCCGAGCCTCAGGAGCTTGGTCAATGTTGATTTTTTTTCTCCTTTTCGTCCCAAGTGCATCTAGGTTCTAACCTTACTCTAAAAAAGGGTGAAGGGGAAGCAGGAAAAGCAACTTCTTAGGAGCCCTCTTGGAGAGAGAAGGTCACAGAAAGCCCACTTAGGGGAGAAAACGCACCCTCTGAGGTATGGCCCGCACCTCCCGGGGAGGCCCGCGCTCACCACGTTCAGGGGGACAAGGGTGTTCTGGAAGAAAGGCTGCACGACCACCGCGAAGTCCTCCCGCTGCAGGTACTGGTGCTGGAAGGAGAACCTGGAGACGCCGCTCTGTGGTTAGGAGAGAGGCTGCTCAACCCTCCTTGCGAGGATGGACAGGTTCTAGTCCTGCTGCCTTGGGTTGGTCGTGATGGAGGCCAACCCACCCGAGACAAAGGTGACTTAAAGGGGCTGCTCCCGGGTGCACGCAGGAGCACCACCACTTCTACTCCGAAGTCCCTATAAGGCGGGGTCTGAGCTGCCGACCAGACTGCTTGGGCCAAAGGCCCCCCTGTTCTCACTGCATGAAGAGGTGAGTTAGAACATAGGCCCCAGTTCAGATCCAGCTCAAATGGGGAGCATTTCAATGCCAGCTCCCCCAAATGCTCATAAACTTGGGGGATGAATGTCCATAGTCTTTGGATTTAAGTGCCAAAATATGGACTGTAAAAGAGAAAGACTAGATGTACTTATTCTTAAAGAGCGTATACTCCAATAGGGAAAGTGAGACAAGATGTGAAAAACCACGAGAAGCCCTCCGCGTGAGATGGAGACGTCGCAGAAAGGCTCAGAGTGGGCACAGGCATGTCAAGGAGGGGGCACTGCGTGGGCTGGGGCTAAGCCTTATACTGGTAAGAAGGGAGAAAGACCAATAGGCAGTGAACACCGCCCTCCTCCTCTGGGTGGGGCATGGCAGCATCACATGGCACCTGCTGTGGGAGCCCAGTGTTGCTCACCTGCTCAAGGCTGACCCAGGCGGGGGGGGGGGGGGGGGGGCGTTCTCTCAGCTTCCCTTCTGAAAGGGTTGCCCTCCCCAACCTTGGTGTTCAATTCACCTGGATAAATCTTTCAGGGGCTGTGATCTGCCTTTAGGGAGCAGCCCTGCTGAACACGCGGCTTGGGGATCCTCACACTGGAGCAAGGTGCCCCTCGTCTAGGGCAGGAAGAGGAGGGATGCAGATGTACCTGAAAGTTCCAGTTCACTTTCTTCAGTTCTTGCATCTCTGGGGAGTCCTCCTGGGAGTGTCTGAAGCAAGTGCAGTTGCTCCTGTAGAGCAAGGAATTCTGTGGAGAAGCTCGCAGGGGGCAGCCTGGCTCTGGCCCCTGGGGGGCTGAGCCCCCACCCAGAGAGAGCTGTTATCCACAGGGGCCTGGACCTCGTGCTGCCTCACATGGGAAGGTGATGACACACAGGTGCCTCTATAACACAGCCATGCTGACTCGTGGACCCAAGTCACAGAACTGACCTCAAGGTCACGAGGTCCAGCAGGTACTTGTTGAGAGAGAAGGTAGAAGAGTTGGCACCCAATGCCTGGATCTCCATGTGGACAGGCTGCCCATTCCCCATGTCACCTGACTGCTCCATCCCAACCCTGTGGCTTCTAGGGTTTGTCCAGGGAATGACCGGGGAGGGGGCTGGGGTTGGGGGGAGACTGTCATGATGGCCCAGTCTTTCTCCTTCATGTTCCTAGGCCTCCCTTTGCCACCTTCAGCTGCTTGGGACTCTCCCTCAGGGCTCCAGAGTGGGGAGTCCCCTGAGAAGCTAGGGTGGTCAGTCAGCGTGAGGTACCTTGACAAGGTGCAATGTAAGACCAGCAGATGCTGGAGGAGCCTGTCCTACCCCAGCCATAGGCTGCTCCACCTGGGGGACTAGGTTCCTATCAAGAATGGAAACTAGCTTGTCATCTTCCCAGCAAATCCATTTGGTCCCAGATAACACCCCTCCACCCCCTACAGAATCTCCTCCCCTCCATGACAAAACTCTGGGAGACACTCTGGTCTCAGAAGACGGCAACTTCCTGCCAGGGTCGCAGCTGAGCTTTAAGTACATTCTAGCTTCCAACAGAAATTCTCGTCTGGCACTGGCTTTCAAGGATGGTCATATCAAGGACATTATAAAACCCACTATTTCCTGAGAGCCTGCCCCAAGGAGGCCAAGTACTTTACATATGTTTCCTCCAGACCTCCCATCTGCTTTGCAAGGAGATTTTATAGGTGAGAAGTAAAAGGTGCAGGGTGGGTTGGGCAAGGACCCCCGGTTCCCAAATGGCAGAGCCAGAATCTGAGGCCAGAGAGAGCTCATTGCCCTCTGCTGTCTCCCAAACACGGAACCACTTGGTGGGGGTACAGTTTGGAACCCCCGACAATGTCAGAAGGCTTTAATGATCGTTTGGTCTGTCTCACTTTACAGAAGAGCAAACCGGGGTCCTGAGAAATGACTTGCATACAAGAGGCATTCAGTAACGTAGAGGCCTCTCCAAATGATTTTCCAAGGGCCCGGCTCGTCTTCCTCTAGATAGGACTGTCTGCTTTGCCTTCAACGGTCTCATCACTGGCATTTGTGAACCCTGCTTTCCCCAGGTGCCCTCACCCTGGGACCGCGGCCGTGTACTTACTGAGCTGCCAGGGGCCTTTCACATTTCCCGCCTTGGCCCTGGTGCAGGCCGGTCAGCTCCATGACCTCCACCACATTGACGAAAGCCCTTGGAAGCTGTGGAGGCAGAGCGGCGGCCTTCATTAGTCCCCAGGCAGGTGTGTGTGTGTGTGTGTGGGGGGGGGGGGGCTGAGCACTGATTACTGCTGGAATGAGCCTAAGGGATCATCTACAAGCCAACTCCCCCCCTCCCCTATTTTACCAATAAAGAGATTGAGGCCCAGGGAGGGGAATCTTCTTTATCAGCCCCACTCTCTATATTGAGAAACTGAGACACCCGCCCACAGTCACATTGCTAGTGAGCCACGGCACCGGGCTGCAGGCAAGGCCAGCCAGCCCAGAGACAGGCTCTTCGCCCCTGGCAATACGGTCTGACCAGTGGAATGTCCCCGAGGAGGAGCAGCAATGCCTCCTTCCTCCCATCCCGTCCTGGTGCCCGCTCGCGGTGGGGCCCTGCTCCCCGCATGTCTGCACCCTGGGAGCAGCCCCAACGCGCGAGCCGGCGGGCAGGTCACCTGCAGGAAATGGGACCCAGGAACGCGCCGCTGCTCCTTCCTACCTCCTTGTAGAGGATGTCCAGGGCCTGCTCGATGTGCCGAACATATTCCCCCGCTGAGTGGGCCTCCTGTGGAGAAAGACGGGGTTTTCCTCAGAGGAGGAGAGCGTCTGTTCCCAGCGTAGAAGGGCCCTGGAGTCCTGGGATAGTGGCAGAGTGGGTACAGAGGGGATTTGATGGCACTGGATGGGCTGGGGAGCCCAGCCCTTGTTGCTGGTGGACACAGTCTCTTGTCAGAAGTCACCCCCAGACCCCGAGTAGACACCATGAACCATTCCCACTTCACCTTGCTCCCTGGTGTCTCAAACCCACAGGCAGACCCTGGCTGGCCTCACCGTCCCTCCAGTCCCAACTGTCACCTTCAACCATGGCGGTGCCCCTGATGGCCGTGCTGGCCCCACTGCCCCCACCTAATGCCTGCTGTCCCTCATGACTCAGTTGGAGGGTCTCCTCCTCTGACCCATCTTCCTAGTTAATCCTGATGGTGTGGCCAGGTCCTTTCCCCAGAGATGTTTTCGGGTATAATTCTGCTTACACAAGGGGCAGCATTCTGGGGCTAGTGGAGGCACTTTCCTGTACCAAGTGTCCACAGGTGGCCCTGGGGTCACTTCTGGCTTCCTGGACCCCATCGAGTCCAAGACGCAATGACATTTATCCCTGTGGGTTGTGTCATTTCTGCCTCCAGAATCCGTGCAGCGAGGCAGAGAGCAGGGGGAGGCCTGGAAGAGGCCCTTGTGCGGAGAGGGGCGTTCTCATCAAGCCTTCAGTGGCTGTCTCTCTGGGCCACAGGAATGATAAATGCCTTCTCCCCCCACCTAGGACTGTCAGACATCCTACCACGACCGCTGAGTAATGGCAGCCGTCTTTTTCTGGCCAAATAAAATACAGGACGTTTTCAACTTAGAACAAGATGTATTCCAAAAGTTACAACTTTCCAAAGTTTGTAAGTCTGGAAGTGTTCCCCGCGGAAACCACGCTAGGCGCAGGGCTGGCCTCCCAGGCTGGCTAGCTGACGCTGGGTAACTCATGATGTCCCTGGACGTGTTCCCCGCAGAAACCACGCTAGGCGCAGGGCTGGGCTCCCAGGCCGGCTAGCTGAGGCTGGGTAACTCATGATGTCCCTGGGGTGCGGCCAGCCGTCCTCCCAGGGCGGGTTCAATTGTATCCAACCCGTGTCTAATATTTTCTCAGCTCCCTCTACACACAGAAAAACACCAACAAACAGGGGAGAGACTGCAGGCTGGTGTGGGGTGAGCCTTGCCAGCTACCCACTGGATACCAGAAAACAGTATGTGTGTATTAGAGAGGCCACCCCATTGGCAGTGCCTGAAGTGTGGGTGCTTCTAGACCCTTCTGGAATCAGGAAACCAATGGAGCTGGTCTCCGAAGGGCCTTTCAGCAGTGGGAAATGCCAGGCCTCGCGGGGCACGTATGTGCCAGAGGCTGCCTGGGCCAACTCGGGTCCGTGGGAGAGCAGACACTGTGACCCCCATGCAGGAGCTCAGGGCCTGGGCATGGATAACGCCACCAGTCAGCAACTCCCTCCGCAGGTCCCGATGGGCTGGTCAGGGGCCTACCGGGTTCTCGCAATAATGACACAGGTCGTTGCTCCCAATGAAGAGTGTGATCAGCTTCCAGTCTTTCTCCAGGTTGATTTCCTGAGGGCACAGAGAGCCGAGGTTAGGGCTTGGTTGTGGGGAGGGGGTATATTCGGGTGGTGCTTCCCAGGCCAGACAGCCCCCAAGCGTTTCTCACTCTCTCTCATCACAGTGGTAAGAAGATGCCTCACCCTCACCATGGACACCGTGTGCGGGAGCAGGGAGCACCTGCAAGTGTGTGTGCGTGTGCGTGTGCGTGCGTGTGCGTGCACGCATGTGTGTCTCCTCACACAGTGCAGGGACTATGTTCCCCTTGAAATCCTCTTCCGAAAGCCTAGTCCAATGTGGAGCTGAGTGTATTAACACACACTGAAAATGTGATCTAAAGGCCTTCAAAGGAGCCGAGGGCAAAAGATGCAGCTGGAAGCAGAAGCCAGAGCTGCCTCATGGGAGAGCTCTCCAGGCGCGGGACAAGGGAGGCAGACCCTGGAAGGGACAGGAGGGGAAACCTTGCACGGACTGAGAGGTGAGGGGAGGGGGGCTGGGAGGCCCTCAAGGAGCCTGCTTTCCACACAGCCACCACCATAATAGGAGTCCTGCCAGGAGCTGAATTCCAAGGAATAAACACAGAGCATTAAAAAAAAGTACTAGTGAGAAGGTTGAGAGGGTCCGCGTGAGGGGGAGGAGGGAGGACTGGAATGAGAAGCCTATTTTTAGAACCCAGCATTTACATAATAGGGCTCTGCAAAGCCACTTCTGGGTAAAGTGGGAAGCTGCCAGAGGCCAAGGCCACCAATCTCCAACTCTCTGCTCCATCTCTCCCTCCTGCAGCTGGCCCTAGGGGTGGGGGTGCCGGGGCCGGGGCCGGGGCCAGGGGGGACAAACAGGGTGCCTTTGTGGCAAGGCCGGCTTCCTGTGGCTTGTTTGGCCCCTCTTACAGACAAACCCGGAGTGGGAGCTGAAATGGGCATAGAGGCTCTTTAGAGCCCCTGTACCCACCCCAGCTGGAGACCTGGGGTCCTCTACTCACAGGGCTGGTTTTCATTCGCTCCACCAGGTCCCGGGCCTGGGCTGGCATGTCCCTGGGCAGGAGGAGAGAAGGGATCGTTAGAGCTGGCTCAGGAGCAAGAGCTGAGCTGTAGGTGTTTGGCCAGGCAAGGATGTGTTTCAGGAAGACTAAAGTCATATTAAGTTTATTCCTTCAGAATGTATTGAAAGCTGTGATTCTCAAGAAATCTCAACTGAGTAATAATGCAACACCTGCCATGGACCTAGGAGCCACCTGGATCCAAACCCTGCCGGGGGCCAGTCTGCACGCACCACCTCTTTCTGTAGGCCTGTCCTCGTGGGCCACTTGGGGTGGCATCTGCTCAGCCTTCCCATCGGGGAAGTTCCCTTATATTTCACCCAGCTTGTTCATTGCAAGATAAGTCTGTGCACTTCTTATCCAGCTGCCTGTTTTAAAAATAACCTTTTGTGTATTTGAAAAAAGGCACAGCCCTAAATCACCCCTCAGCTTTCTCCTTCACAGCGCCTTCAACCTTTACTTCCAAGTCCCACTCTGTTCCTTTAATCCTTTCGTTTTCCTTCTCCGGAATTACTTTGGATTTCCACACCATTCTCCATCTCCTCACTTTCCCCCTCCCAACGAAACAGGACGGAGGAGACAAAATCAGCCAGGGTTAGTTCTCCCAGGCGTCTGCCGTGAACGAGGAAAGGAACCTTCTGGGTATGAGACCTGTATGTCCATGGAATGCTACCGGCAATAAAGACGCACAGGCTAGGGATACATACAACAACGCGGATGCATCTTGAAATAATTTTGCTGTGTGGAAGAGGTTAGACAAGAAAGGAGTACATAGTCTATGACTCTAGAAAATTAGGACGAATCTATAGAGACAGAAAGCGGGTCAGTGGTTGCCTGGAGTGGGGTAGGGCAGGAAGGGGCAAGAGGGAAGACCACCAAGGGCCACAGGGATGAGCTTATCGTCTTGACTGCAGTGATGGTTTCACAGGCAGATGCATGTATAAAACTTACCAAATTGCAGGCTTTTAATGACAGCGTATTGCATGTCAGTTAAACCTTTTTTTCCCCTAAGATATGTATAAGAGAAGTTATGCCAGCAAGAGATTCAGCCAATAGAGGCTTCCTTGGAAGAAGTCATAGAAGCAGTTGCTGGTACAGGATGGCCATTTAAAATCTCTGCATGCCAGGATGAGCTGGGCATGTGGCCAAGCACCCGTGACACCTTCCCTACCCTGGTTTCTCATTTACACACCCAGGAGCACACCCGTACACTACTGCTATTGATGGGTACCCCAGAAAGCTGTAAAGAAAGCCTGTCCTGGGGAAAGGTAACCACAGGCGTGCCTATAACCTTTCAATAGGTTCAAGGTGTGACCAGGGGGACTCATGGTGGTAAGCCCACATGAGCACTAGGGGAAGTCAGGAATGCCCACCTCCTCCTCTCATCCCGGCCACGTTCTTCAGAGCAAGTCCTGCCTCCCCGGTGAGTCTTCTCTCTGAGCTCATTTTCCACACCTCCTCCATTTCCCTTTCTATCCCGTGCAGAGCCCTGCTCTTGAAGTTGTGGGACCAGAGCTCTCCTTTTAGCTCTGCTACGGACTTGCTGGATGAGCTCACCCAAGTGAATAAATCCTGCCAGGGCTGAGTTTCTCGCCTTTTAAATGAAGCAATTGGGCTAGATGATTTCTGGGGTCCCTTCTGGGTCTGCATCTGTGGTGGGGCTGCCTAGTCCTCACACGACACTTTTCTGTTTTCTTGGTTGCTCTCCATCGGACAAAATCATTTCAGTCTGCAATGTTGCCATACGCAACTGGTTTCCCCCCCAAAGTTACTTGTTTGTTTAGTCTCCTTAACTAGACAGCGAGCTCTTTGTAGGGAGGGAGTTCAGCTTTTGAACTCTTTTGTATCTTTTTGTAACCACCTCGGGGCTCAGCCCTTAACAGGTGTTCAATGAATTCTTGCTTACTGATTGATGGAAGGGATGTTAGATGTTTAATACAACTTTGAAACCACATAGCCTAATCGTGACAGACTTTTTTGTATACGTACTATATACTGTACGGAGTGCTTTCCATGCATAATCATCTCACTTAATCTTACGCCAGCCCCGAGAAGTAGGTACTATTACTATCCCTATTAATGGATGATAAAACGAAGACTCAGAGATGCTAAGTGACTTGCCCAAGGTCACCGAGGTAGTACGTCTGGGAGCTGAGATCTGGACAGATGGTCTGACCTCAGGCCCCGTTATCTTCGTTGCTCAGCTGCAGTATTACTCCTCCTACTTAGGTGAACGGACCCTCATCTACACCGTACTGAACACAGGCAGACAAAGGAGAGACAGAACAATTCCCTAGCCTTGCTCATTGAGTCAATGGCTTACTCTCCTTCCCCCAACAGGGGACACCAGAGATACTGACAAGAAGCAGCTGCCTGGCTGCTTCCCTGCCGGCGATTTGTTCTGCTGGAGACACTGAGCAGCGTCACAGAGAAAAGGCAGAAAGAGAAGTGCAGTGAGCAAGGAGCTCAGCTGTCAGACTGAGGATCACCTCCTGGTTAATGAAGCCTGCGTTGTAGAATAATAATGAAACTATGATGATGATGATGATGATAATTACTATCATTGTCATAACAGCAGTGAGATGTTGACATTAGGGCCCCAGGAAGCCCAGTTTTTTGTAGACAAATTAGTTGTTCCTGCTTATGACGTTGAGGAACTGACACGGCTTCCTGTGGCTCAGAGACTCCAGCGAGCTGGGGCCCCCCTCCAGTCTGAAAGGAACGCTCCCTGTAAACAGCGAGTCAAGACCGCGTCGTTTCCTTGGTGATCTGAGTGCAGCAATCCTGCTACAAAGCAAACACCCAGCACGTTCGGTGCAGATAATCAATGAACTCTGTCAGGCATTTCCACTTTAATTATCTGAGTTACTGTCAACAACAGAAATCTGAGTAATAACAAACAACTACCATGCCGTTCCAGGGTGAACACCTAGCTCCTTAACGTCAAAAGAACAGCTTGTTCAAGCACTGGAGGATGGAGGCAAGGGGGAGAGAGGAAGGGTGACTATCCATGGGGTCACACACTGAGTCCCTGGGTCCCTGAGAAGTGCCCTGAATGTCTGACCTGAACCTCTGCTGGGCGGGGAGCCGGGTCAGCGGGCCAGCACCCCAGGAGGGGCGGCGTGCCTCCTGCTGCCCTAAGAGGCTGTCACAGCACCGTGGGCAGAACAAAGGCCCTGAGTCACCTGGTCTGATCCTGGCTCCTCTGATAACCTTCTCTGATCAGCTTGGACCATTCGGGAAACTTTCTAAGCCTCAGTGTCCTCATGCTAGTACCCATCTTGAAGGGTGTGAGGGTTACATGACCCACCCCCGAGAGGGGCCGGCTCGGGGCCGGGCACACAAGTGCTCCGTGCATGGCGGTGACGATGGCTCATCCGGGGCCCGGCTCCCAGAGCCACCGTCCTCTCCTCCTCCTATTTCCCACCACGATCTCCCAGCTGCCCTCCTCCCTCCTGGGCCCACGTCCACTCACCGAGCTCTCGCCCCTTCCACAGCTACATTCAGTCCTGCCGTCTCCTTCTCGGTCCCGGTGGAGAACCCGAGGACTTGAGGATTGAACTTCTTGAGAATGTCTTTCAAGAGGGAGAAAGCAGGCAGCACAAGTGAGGGGGAGATGGATGTGCAGTGTTCGGGGGGCAGGGCAGTTTGGGGTCTTTTCGGGACTGGCTGACATCCCTCCTTGCAGATAACCTCTGCTGCTGCTGAGCGGGTAGGCCCTGGCCTCCGTGAGGGGCTGTTGTGGCCACAGCGATGGTGCTTCTGCCTGGTGTTACTTACTGGGCAGTGTGGTGTGAGTCTCCAGGACCCCGTCACCGCCAATGCTGGGGAAGAGAAACACATTTGCTCAAATCCCCCCGACCTGTTGCTCCACATGTCCTCATATTTCTGCGTTAGGACGAGACTCTGCCCCTGGTATGAGAGTCCCATCAGCCTTAGGACTAACATGGGTACCCGGGCCTCTCTGCATCTCAGCACCGGGCCCCAGAACCTGCCTCTGCTCTGGAGGGCTGGCAGGGAAACACCACCCGTGCCCCTCGGGGGGAGTGTTGTCAACAGAAAACACGTGGAGAACGTCCTCACCTCCAGGAGAGTCCCCGCCAGGACCTGAGCAGCTCACTGGAGTTGCCTGGGCGGGCTCCCACCGCTGTCTGTGAGAGGAAGAGAGAAAGAGGCTGCAGACCTGGGCTGGGCTCGGGTGCAGCCTGGGAGAGGCCCCTGTGCCCTCGTGCAGCAGCTGGGGCCCGGTTTCCCTTCTCTGAAAATGGTCTCAGCTTTTCCCCAGGCCATTTGCTCTCTGAGCTGTCCTGGCTCCCCAGTCTCCACATACAACCAGTAACCAAGTCCTGGGACAACCAAGATTCCTCCTTCCCAACCTCTCCAGCTCCTATCACTTTCCTTTTGTTCCTTTCGCCATAGTCTGAGGTGAGACGGTCATCTTCTCGCCATGGACAACACTCTGACCCCTACCTGACCCCGCAGTCTCCAGGACTGTTCCCCCTCACCAGCTGTCCGCCTGCTCTGCTGAACACACGTTCTCCTCACACTCCCCCTCAACTCTGACCTTTCAGTGCATCTCTTACCCACACAAACCGCCAGGTCTAAGCAAACTGATCGGACACATGAAGGCCTTGAACTGGTGTCAAATTCCTTCTCTAAGACCTTTGGCAGTTTTCATCTCCTCTACAAAGCTTTCCCGGAATGCCCTATTTCTCTCTAAAAAGAGAGAGAAATGCCTCTTCAAAACTTACGAAAATAACACATACTCACCATAACTAGTGAAATGATACAAAGATTTTTGAAAAATTGATAATCTATCACACCTTAATAATCTTGCCCCATCCCCTCCTCGCCCCTGACCCACACATACACACCACCAAAGCTAATCAATGGTGAGGAGTCTGGTGTGTATCCTTCCATAACTTTCTCCACATTCATACCAAAATGCAAACATTCACACACCTATGGGGAAGTTGCTTGTGTTTACAGAAACGAGTTCCTGATTTTAACAGTCCTGGATGTCACCTACATGATTACATAGCTCCTTCTGTGTAAGTTCCTCGTTTTCCCAGTTGAACAGATTTCTCGAGGGCTGTGACTATGTCTCATACTTCTGTCCCCTCAGAATTGCTAGCAGAGTCTTGCACACAGCAGTCGCTAAATAGTTGGCTAGTATGAGTCACTTAATGAAACTGGGCTATGTGCAGGAGTTGGGCTCCCACTGCCCCCGAAGAATGCATCTTTAAATGGGGTGAGGGGGTGCTGGACAACGTGTGGGTGAGACCCACCACTCTGTGAGTCCGGTAGATGGAGGTGAGTTTCCTGATCAAGGCAGGCAGACTTGAATGAGCACCACAGCACAGAGAGGAAATGCTTGGGGACAGTGGGGAGAAGGGGCAGACAGCTTCTGCCTGGGGCTGGAGGTGGGGTTTGAGCGGGACTGTGACAAGGCAGAGGGTGGCCATTCTAGAGTGCCTGGTGTTGTCCATGGCGAGAAGATGACAGTCTCACCTCAGTGCATGGCTGCCTGGCTGTGTTTCTGTGCCTGACACAGGTAGGTTCTCACTAGTGTCTGCTAAATGCAGAGCCAGTGCAGAGGAAGAGCTGGTTCTGCACAGGGCCCGGCTGGTGCCCGTGCCAGGGGCAGTTCTGTACTCACAGTCAGTGAGTCACCCAGGGCGGCCACCACTTTGATGTCTGCTGGTCGGAGCTCATGAACTAGGACAGACAGGCAAATAGGTAGATGGTCAGGGGGAGGTCTTTCTTTTAAAGTATGAACTTGATTAGAAGTCTGAGATCCTGCTGTAGTCCCACAGGTCCCCCTTACACTTATTTCCGGCCTAGGGCTTTGGCAAGTGGCCTCGTACATCCATTTAAAGCAATCAAGGTGCTGAGGTTAATGACTTTGATGGTTATTGTCCATCCCGAGAGGAGCCAGCTTCACAATGGAGTGGTCCAGGAAAGTTCCAGTTGTGGGGGGCATGAGCATAGGCAGAGAGGACCCCAATCCCTGACTGTCCCTACCTCACACGGCAGGGAGGCCTGCGGGACTGCCACTGGGACTAAGTGGACACAAGCTGTGGGATCTGTGGCGAGGCCTGGGAGCCCAGCAGGGGTGCAAGCCAGCCATTTGTGGGTGGCACCAGATTGAGGTCTGCATTGCACGGGCATCAGCCAGGCCTGCTCAAGGCTCCAGGATGTGTTTGTAGGGTCTCCCCCCACTTGGACATTTCACAAAGCCCTTAATTGAAGTGGGGAATGACATTTTCACTCACCCGAGGTGGGAACGCTGTTGGAAGGATTCCACTGCATACACAGGAAGTCACTGCCCCAGTTCTAAATCAACAGGAGGAAAGACACAACGCCCAACGCTCATTGTGCGGGGAAGTTAGCATCAGCCCAAGAACTAGCTATGTCACTTTAGGTGGAGGCTAGAACTATGTCACTGTGGGGGGACCGTGTGAGGGTAAGACCTGTTAGTTGTAGATGGACTGCGAGGGAAATGAGAGAGGAGAAAACAGGTGTTTGCCTATCCCTATGCACAAAACACATAATGGTGGGCACACATGCACACTCACAGTCTTTCCCATCTCCACTATCTGCACTCTTAAGTGGGGCTGGCAGTCCTACCAGAGCAGGGGAGAAGCAGTGCTCAGGTGGTCTTCCAGGGGACACAGACTTGGATACTTAGCATGAGAGATAGCTGGTTTCTGGCAGTGTTGTTTAACGTTAAGCTAATGGGCACTAATTACAATGCTAAACTGAAACAATAATTAGAATTTTTTTAGGAAAGGAACATGACATTTTTACAATTGCATAGTTCCTGTTTTCTGCATATTTTTTTCTGTACATGTGTATATATTTTTGGATATTAAACTTAATAACCAACCAATTCCTTGTATGTGTAAAAATTAATGCCTATAACCTGGATACCTTTAGTCAAATTCCTTTATCTCTAAAAATACAGAGCACCTTGCTGCCATGTAGTTCAATTGGTTAAAATGTTGTCCCGATATGCCAAAGTTGTGGGTTCGATCCCCAATGAGAGCACATACAAGAAGCAACCAATGAATGCATAATAAGTGGAACAACATATCAATGTTTCTCTCTCCCTTCTTCTCTTCCCTTCCTCTCTCTCCCTCTAAAATTAAAAAAAATTAATTTTTTAATTTATTGATTGATTTGAGAGAGAGAGAGAGAGAGAGAGAAAGGGAGAGGGGGAAATAGAAACATCGATGAGAGAGAACATTGATTGGCCGCCTCCTGCATGCCCCTCACTGGGGATCAGGTCCACAACCTGGGCATGCGCCCTGACCGGGAATCGAACCAGCGACCACACTGGCAAGGCTAAAAAAATTTTTTTATAAAACAAAATACAAAGCACCTTTTCCAGGTGCTGGCTGGAGGAAGGGCTGGCGTGGGAAGCAGAAGGCAGGGAAATGGCCAGTACCAGCAAGCTGGGGAAGAAATAGAATCTCTTCCCCGGCTTCCAAACACCCACAGATCCCCAAGATGGCCTGAGGGACAAGCCCAGCGCTGAGCACACAGTGGGGCTCCACAAACAGGTGCTGACTGGTTGCCTGAATGAAACTTCTTTTAACTATTATTTGCTTAATTTGATGTAATTTAGTTTATTCCAAGCAATTGCTCAATTCATCACACTGGTGGATTCCTTCTTTTGTGTGGATGTTCTGCTGAAGTTAAGAATGTGCTTCTTGAGACTTCTGGTCATGATGGCGGTGTAGGTAAATGGTATCGTGTCCTTCCACAACCACATTAAAGTTACAACTAAACTACAGAACAACCATCATTCAAAACCACCTGAACTCAAGCTGAACAGAATTAAAGCAGCAGCCATACCGAGACTGGTAGGAATGGTGGAGGCGGAGGGGCTGGTCCCACACCCACATTTGGCAGATAAAAATTAGGAGGACACCTCGGCTGGGAAGGTCCTCCCTGAGGACTTAGGGGTCCCTGTCCCACACCAGGCACCTGCTCAGGTTCCAGTGCCAGGAAGAGAAGTCCCCATAACCTCTGGCTGGAAAACCAGCAGGAACTGAAGCTCAGGGAGGCTGATGGGGCTGGAGTCCCAGGCAGCTCCTCTTAAAGGGCCCACGCACGGATTTATCGGACTTACTCCCTCTAAACTTGGAGGGGAGGCAGCTCAAGGGGCTCCAAAGACATATAGGAAAGAACTGAGCTGTTTGGCATTGGAGCAAGGGCTACAGAGGGGGCTTTCTCCGGGACAAATGTGCTGTCAGAGGCCTTTGTTCCTTTGGTGAGCTCTTCCCTGGGGCTGCAGACAGCCACCATATCTGGGACTCCAGCAAACTGGCTCAAACTTGTAGCCCCGCCCTGGTGATTCCCTGAGGCCCCGCCCCACCCCACCCAATTTTCAGGCCCACCCAATTTTCAGGCCCACCCAAGCTGTTGTCAGTTGCTTAACCATAGGATTGGCCTGTCTTGGATCCTGCTTCAGGTTTTCCTAAATTCTTTCAAACAAGCAGCATCTGGTCTCAGATAGCCCCATATCTCTCATTAAGTAATACACAGAAACAAACAGAGAGGCAGCCAAAATGGAGACAAAGAAACAGGTCCCAAATGAAAGAACAGAACAAAACCCCAGGAAAAGAACTAAGCGAAATGGAGATAAGCAACCTAACAGATGCTGAGTTCAAAATACTGCTTATAAGGATGCTCAATGAACTTAGTGAGAACCTCAGTGGACTTAGTGAGGGCCTCAAGAACATAAAAAAGGACCAGTCAGAAATGAAGGAGGTTCTAACTGAAATAAAGAATAATTTACACAGATTCAATAGTAGAGTAGGTAAAGTCAAGAAGCAAAGCATCAATTTGGAATCTAAGGAAGCAAAAAACACCCAATCAGAACAGCAAAAAGAAAAAATAATAAAAAAAAATGAGGAGAGTGTAAGAAGCCTCTGGGACAACTTCAAGCATGCCAACGTTTGCATCTTGGGGATGCCAGAAGGAGAAGAGAGAGAACAAGAAATCGAAAATCTATTTGAAACAATAATGGCAGAAAACTTCCCTAACTTGGTGAAGGAAACAGACATACAAGTCCAGGAAGCACAGAGAGTCCCAAACAAGACGAACCCCAAGAGGCCCACACCAAGACACATCATCATCAAAATGCAAAAGGTTCAAGACAAAGAGAGAATCTTAAAAGCAGCAAGAGAAAAGCAGTTAGTTACCTACAAGGGAGTTCCCATAAGACTGTCAGCTGATTTCTCAAAAGAAACTTTGCAGGTCAGAAGGGAGTGGCAAGAAATATTCAGAGTGATGAAAAGCAAGAACCTACAACCAAGGTTACTCTATCCTGCAAAGCTGTCATTTAGAATCGATGGCCATATAGAGAGTTTCCCAGACAAGAGAAAGTTAAAGGAGTTTATCACCACCAAACCATTATTATATGAAATGTTGAAGGGTCTTGAAGAAAAAGATAAAAAATATGAACAAACAAAATGGCAATGAATATATATCTATCGACAATTGAATCTACAAACAAAATGAACAGGCAGAACAGAAACATTCTCATAGATACAAAGACCATTTTGTTGGTTGCCAGATGGGAGGGGGTGGGGGTTGGGGAAATGGGTGAAAAAGGTGAAGGGATTAAGAAGTACAAATTGGTTGCTAGACTGACAAACCTCAAAGGGAAGGGGTTTGGAGGGTGGGAAGAAATAAACCAAAGAACTTATATGCATTACCAATGGACACAGACAACAGTGTGGGAAAAGGTGGGAGGGGAGTGGGAGGGGGGCTGAAGTGGGGAGGAGGGGGTCAATGGGGGGGGGAAAATGAGGAACATCTGTAATACATTCAACAATAAAGAGAAAAAAAAATAAAGAGAAAAAAAATGAATGCGCTTGTTGTGCTGATGACACATATCAGGGAAAATGCAATTAAAAAAAAAAAAAAAAGTTCTACAACCGTGAGTACTTTAGAACTATCTCAGCTAGCTGGGGAGCTCGAGACAAGCAGGCGCCATGCAGATGAACAGACACAGGTTGGAATGTGAACTGCTCGTCTGTCACAGGGGAGAACCACACAATGCAGTCGGCCCGAAAACCCTGGGTGTCCTGTTAAATGCGGATTCTGGTTCATCAGGCCTGGGATGGTGCCTAGGACTCTGCATTTCTAACAAGTTTCCAGGTAATGTTGATGTCACCTGTCTGAGGCTAAAACAGCAAGGTATTAAAACAAAACAAAACAGCCCTGGCCGGTTTGGCTCAGCGGTTAGAGCGTCCGCCTGCGGTCCGGAGAGGCCCGGGTTCGGTTCCCGCTAAGGGCATGTACCTCGGTTGCAGTTTGTCCCCGGCCCTGGTTGGTCGTGCGGGTGGCAGCCACTCTATGTGTCCCTTTCACATTGATGTTTCCCTCTCTCTCTCTCCTCTCTCTCCTTCCCACTCTGTCTGTACAAAAAATGGAAAAATGCCCTCGGATGAGGATTAAAAAAAAACAAAAAAAAACACACACCTTCTAGGCCTGGGTTTCTCACTCTTTTGGAGCAGAAGCAGAGACATAAGACTGTAAGACCCCAGAGAGCAGGCCCAGGCCCACTTGGCTCACCATATATACCCAACAGTTAGTACAATACCTGCTTCATTTTGGCATCCAATAAATAAATGTTAAATAAATGCCCGGTTGACAAGATGCAGCTGACATTTCAATTATAATGAGTTTTGGTCTATGGTTTGCCTGAGATGAGCCTCTGTTGGGTGAAAGTAGGCCTGAGAGACTCCAAAGAGTCTGGATGGTTGGCATTACCCCAGCCTTGAAGCTGTGATGGCTGGGACCCCAGAACTTAGACTCTAACAGGTCTTCAATTCTCTCTGATAGGTTAGTCTCAACACTTCGGCTAGCTTATAAAAAACCCTTTCCTCAATTTATTCCTGCTGTTCCCCAATCCATTTTCCGCACTAGTCAGAGAGGTCTTTTCAAAAGGTGAGCCAGATTATGTCACCTTCTCCTAGAACCTTCAATGGCTTTCCACATCTCTCCACCTAAAACCCAACCTTCCTACTTAGCATTCAGATTCTGGATGATCTGGCTCCTGAAAACTCCTGGATCACATCACCCTATTCTCTACGTCATTCACATGCTCACAGCCTCTCTGACCTTTCTCTTCCTCAAATACACCCAACTCAACCCCACTTATGAACTTTGGTGTTCCCTGGTAGTGCCTGGGACTCTGGCTCTCCAGATAGCTGGCGTCTTTCACCATGCACGGCCCAGCTCACATCTTTCCTCCTCAGGGAGGCCTGGCCTGCTCAACTCATCAGAGCTTGCCACTCCTCCCTTGCCCCACCATGTTTTCTCATATCACTTTTCTTGGAGCTGTCACCACAGTCTGAAGTCATTAGGCTTATTTATTGAATGCCTCCTTTAACAGACTGTAAGCTCCGTGAGGGATAGGACCCATCTGTCTGGCCTGCTCTATCTCCCTGGAACAGTGCCAGAGCATAGCAGGTGCTCAGTATGGAATGACCTCTAACTCCCCAAGGCCACAGCCATCTCTGAATTCCCTCTAACCCTGACACAAGACTGGACATAGGTGCTCCACTGAAACTGGTGGCTGAGCCCCTGTCCTGGTGGCTGACAGACCTGATCGGGATCAGGCCCGTCCTGCAATGCCTGGTGTGGTCCAGGATCCTCCAGGCCATCCTTGGGGGGGCAGTCTTTAAAGCCATGGGCCCTGAATCCTTTGGGGTTCCTCAGAGCCAGTATGATTGACTTGAACCAAACCAGCCTTGGGGACCCACCTAGATATGTATCAGCTTCCTGTTGGGCCCAACCCTGACATTGAGATTCTTTCTACTCAGTTTCCACCTTTCAGGAAGTCAATGGCACATCATACCTACTACCTCCCCTTCACCCTTTGAAAGGCTGAGTTGCCTAATCAGAAAAGAAGTATATACAAAAGTCAAACAAAATGGATCCATGGGCACTTCCTCTTGTTGGTTGCTAATGTCACGTAAGCACGTGAGAACGTGTTAGGACAATCTTGGAACTTTGTGGTTCAGTCCATTTTTTAAAAAAATTTCAATTTCCAGTATGTAAGAAGAGTACATTTCTGCTTAAGCTAACACTCAGAAACCTGAGTCACTGGCAGGTGGAAACGGTTTGTTCCTGAGAGAGGCAGACACGAATCAGGAGTTACCTCGACGGCTGGCTTGGCAGGGTATGTGTAGTTACTGTTCCGGAGGGTTCTCAGAAAAGGCTCACCCTAAGAGAGAAAAGAAACCACAAGGAGAGGTTACTGACAACATGGAAGGTTGCTTAGGAAAGATAAGAACTAATAATCCAGTCCTCTAGATTTACTTAGCGTGATTTTTCTGCACTCAAATAGAAAGAACTGTATAAACATAATTTTATTCGCTCCCTGGAGGGTTTTATATATCATCTTCGGCAAGGGATGCACAAGGAAAGGACTAAAAAGGGTTCGTGTATGTTTTATTCCTGGATCTACCCTTTTGTTTTCACCCCAGCAAATGAACCTCTCCCTAATCATCACAATGATGTTTTCTGTCCTTTGTAGTTCCTCTGGCAAGAGAGTCACATTATAGCAATTTGTCTTGTCTAAAAAGTGTTATGATTATCAATTTATTTTATTACTTTTTTTATCCTCACCCAAGGATGTATTCATTGATTTTATTTTAAAAATTTATTTCTTATTAATTTTAAAATTTGATTTTACAGGGGGAGGACGAAAGAGAGGGAAAGCGAGAGAAACATTGATGTGAGAGAGAAACACTGATCAGTTGCCTCCTCTATGTGCCCCCACTGGGGATTGAACCCATAGCCTTTTTGTATATGGGATGACGCTCCAACCAACTGAGCACCCAGCCAAGGCTCAATTTATTTTCATTACCCTTTTTCCCTCTCCTTCAAACTATGTCTTACCTCTTCAGGTTGGCTTCATATATTTGTCATGCTCTTTCTCATGAACAACCTCCTCACTCCCTACTCCCCTACCTAGGTCACTATCGGTTCTCACACAAGCCCAGTCGACAGTCCAAATCTATTCCGTCGCAGGTGATGGATTCATCCAAAAGGACAAATGGAGGCAAAGGAGAAACAGGGAAAAGCAAGGAAAGGAAAACATAAAGATGGTGAAGAATGAGTAATAAGTCTGAGGTAGGGAACACTGAAAGGCCCAGGGCTGTCCGCTCTGCCAAGACGCACCCAGTGGAGCAGAAGGGCCAGGGTCTGAAGGTTTGGTGATAAAATGGAAATGAGAAGAAAGCACCAGAGTGTTGGAGAGAGGTCACTGGAGATCAGTTCCAGGGGTTGAAACCCGACGGCCTGTGGGCTGAACCCACCCAGGAGATGTTTCGGTGTGTTCTGCTCTCTTTGGGCCTGAATGGTGTCAACAGAGGAGGAGTGGGAGGGAGAGCATCTGAACGCTCAGGAGACACACCCTCTCTCAGTTCTGGCCCAGCCACTCCTCCTGTTGAATGTCTGAGCCCATGCACACCGTCACGCTCCTGCTGGGCATCAGTCTGAGTCCGCAGCCCCCCCCCCAAACCCCCGTTTTACAGATGAACAGCAGCCGAGGCCAGAGTGAGGAAGGGGCCTGTTCCAGGTAGAGAGCAAGTAGTAAGTGAGCACAGGTCCCGACCTGACTTGACAGCCTTCCTGAGCATTCCTCACACCGGTGTCAGGCCCTGTGTGGTTAGATGGAGGGGGCGAGGAAGAGAGGGACTCCCGGCCCCAGCACAGACCCGGGCTCCTGGGCGCTGCACGCCTCCTTCCGTCTGAGTGTCAGCGTTCCTAGCTGACACATGGCTGGAGGCGTACTCAGGGCCCAGGGCAGGAAGTGTGCCCAGGACTGTCTGCAACAGTGGAGGGCCAAGGAGGCCTTCCAATGGCGTGTCACCATGGCGAACCAGGCTGTCTCCAGCCAATGTTTTCAGCACCCCCAACATTCACATCACATGAGGGCAATCTGGGTGTATTCCGTACAAAACGGGCCTACTGGTGTTGAGGCCCCATGTGTCCAGAGCAGTGCTCTGAGTGCTAGGATGAAGGGATGATACAGAGACTTACAGCCCAGCCAGGCAGAGAGTGTGAAGCTACAAGGAGGCAGCAAAGTGTCAAAGTACAGTGTGGCCATGAGTGCAGTGCTTGGTGAGAAACAGACACAAGACCTAGGGCTGTGTGCTTCTCAAAGACTGGACTTGGTGGGGGCTGGGATGCTAATTAATCTTCTTCCCCCTTTCAAGGGAGCCCTGAACTGGGCCGAGGCTCTGGGTGCTGGAGCTAGTCCCAGAGTGGCCAGCACAGGAAAAAACAGAGAGCAGAGATGTGCCCTGCCCTTCTGGAAATGCTGCAAGTCAAACTGGAGAGCCTGGCTGGTCATATAATCCAATGGTTGGGGGAGGGGCCAGAGAGGGGAGACTGAGTCAAAGAGGTCAGAGGTCAGGGAGACACCGGAATTCGACAGGGAGTGAGGCCAGAGCAGGAAGAAGAACGGGTCCAGGGCAGTGGAGACAGGTAGGCGGGTTGCCTAGGGCTTGTTTTATTGGCCACAGGCCACACGGCGTGTGCATGAGTCAGAGTGGTTTAGAGGCCTCGAGTCGAGGGACCGTGTGGAGCAGGGATTCCGTGATTTAGTCTGAGGGGCTCTCAGGCTCCATTTGCAACACTAGCGAGTAGAAGGTGAAGCCCTTTAAATACCAGCCCCAGGAAGTCTGTGCAGAGATGGTGTGACCTGCCTGGGGGTGGGGGCAGAGCCAGGACAGCCACCTGATGTGAGTCAGCACCGTGAGTCAGAGGCCTCGGGAAAAGGTCATGTTCATCTTGGCTGTGTCACCAGGTTTAAAGTTCCAGAGCGAAGGAGTGGTGGCTTGTTTTCTGTTCCGCGCTGTTCAGAACAAACCAGAGTGCACAGGCAGGTCTGGGCACCCACCTAGGGGGACCACGTTCCAAGGAGACATACCTATTACATGAGACAAGGTTTGGAAGGCTGGTCTGTGAGCAGTGGTTCAGGGAACTGAGGAGAAGACTCAGGGAAGGTGGCGGTGGTGGTAGGGGGAAGAGGACACAACAGGCCATGACTTCTGATTCTAGTCCATTCGTGCTGGTTCATGACCTCCTAGGCTAATGTCACAACCTGTGGATGGGTAGCCACTTGGCAGTTGGAAAAGCTGTACCCTGAGGGGACAGTCGTTTAAGTAGAGGCTATGGTGATGCCTTGGGAGGCCTGTGGTAGGATAGTTCACTTAGTCTATGAGAATTACGTCAGCAGAACCCCAAGGCTCTCCCGCTGAGATCCTAAGGTTACATAATTCTCTGCTGTTTTATGATGGGAAGGTAGGAACAGGTAACCTTTAACATACAAAGTGCTCGGGAGCTGAGCGGGGGTGGGGGTGGGGGTAGGAATGGGAAGCGGGGGCACTGGGAAGAATCCCATGGCACAGGGTTCCGGCGGGGGGTTTCGTGCCTGTTGGACGGTGGAAACCACAATAATAGTGACAGAAATAGGAAAGTCCCAAGGATCACAGAGTTGGGGAAGACAGATATTTAGTTCCTATTTTAACACTCCATACTTAAAAATTAGTTTTTGAATGAAAGTTTGTTGAGTTTGAGGTGATGGTGAAGTCAGGGCAGGAGCAGGAGACTCAGAAGTCCGAAGCACGCTGAAGGTCACAGTGTCCCCCACATGTGATTCAAAACAGAAACACCACCAAACAATACATATAATGGAATCCAACAAACCTCTGCTTTTCCCAAAATAAAAGACTGGATGTACTATCACTGGAAGTTATTTTGGTTTCTCTCTTTCTCTGCCTCTCTGTCTCTGTGCATCTCTCTTCAGTTCTTCTGCTTTGTTGACACCCTGACCACTCCTTTAAGCAGCCATCTGAGTAAGCTTACACCACACAGGGCATCCAAGGGGAAGGCGGCTCTTCAGGGTTAGAAATACTAAGGTGGAGTTTGGGAAAGAAAGAAATGAAGACAGATTGGAGAGTCTCGTATAAAGAAATTTAACAGAAAACCCTGGAAGTAGACAAATCTCAGAGTGAGGGGGTGGGGGTAGAGAGAGGAGAGAGAATGGGGCTGGGACGTGACAGCTGGAGAATGCCCTCATTTTTGAGGCCAGAAGAAGAAAGGAGGGTCGTTAAAAAAGACAAGAGCCCCGGCCGGGTGGGTAGCTCAGTTGGTCAGAGCGTCGTCTTGAAATGCCAAGGTTGCAGGTTTGATCTCTGGGCAAGGCACGTACAAGAACCAACCAATGAGCGCATAAATAAGTGGAACAACAACCATTGTCTCTGGCTCTCTCTCTCTCTCAAAAAAAATCAATAAATAAAAATTGTGAAAAAGAGACAAGAAGGGGCAGCCACTAGAAGAACAGAACAGTGAGGTGCTGTTACATCCAGGACACTCATGAGGAGAGGGTTACCTCTGACCAACGCTTAGAGAGAGCACAGTGAGTAAGCGCTTAAAAGGACCATGCTGGTCTTTCAGCTGCTTTCTCCAAAGCCTGCAGCGCCACCGCCAGCTGCCCTGGGTTAGGGAAGGAGTGGGCAGAGAGGTGACGAAGGCAGGAAGGGGACAATAGTCACAGTCCACAGAGTGGCTACTCAAAATTTGGCTGTAAAAGCATCTGTCCAACCTGAAAGTCCACGGAGCGTTAAGTGCCGACCTGGCCGGGCGGATGCACCTGCAGTTACCGGGCAGGAGAGGAGCAGGGAGGAGGCTGAGAAAGCTCCCGGTGCTCACATCCATCCCGGGCCCTCCTCCCCACTGGGTCCTGCCTGCCTGTGGCCTCTATGTTTAGAGACAGCTAGCACTAAAATATGTGCTACCTGCCCCCTGTCCGCTCACACTGAGAAGCTGGTGGACTTTATATAGCTCCAAGGCACACGGGAGGGAGCAGATGGGCCTGAGGAACGCAGAATGCTACATTGCCTGGTGTGGTAGAATTGGGCTAACCAACAGATGGAGCCTTTGGGAATGGGCTCTGGGGTTGCCTGGCAACCATTTCTTCCAGGCTGGGCTTCTATGGGTCCAGGAGGCTGGATTTGCTCTCCTCTGCTCACCAATGGCTCAGTCAGGCTCGCTCCAGGAGGAGGAGCTGAGCCCACTGTGGCTTGAGTGTTGGTGGAGCGGCACCCTGTTGGGGCTCCTTACCTGGTTCGGGGCAGAGAGTGGCACAGGTCACCTTGAGGCCCATGGTGGCAGGGCTGTCTCTGACCCAGTACCTAGCCTCCAACCTGGTACTTAATAAATGCTGGTGGGGAGGAGGAGCAATGATGGCTCCCTGGAATGGGTTGTTACTACTTTCACTATTTAATGGAAGGCTGCATGGGCAGATTGGAGAGGGTTTTCCATGGGTGATGCTCAGTATGGCCATATGGGTGATAAAAATATTGAAACACTTACCTCCAGTATGGTTTACAGCCTCTGCTCTGAGTCCCCAAATGCCCCTCCTACAGAGGTTGCCTGGCTCCTGCCCTAAGGCTCCTTGGCCACACTCGGAATTGAGCACGTAAACCATTTACACCTGGCACCATGGTGGAGGCATCCATGGTGCACTGGCTGACGCATCACTGGACTATCTCCTTTGCTCCAAGCACCAGACCCAGCACCTGAGCCGTCTGCGGCCACTGCCCTCACTTCCACATCCCTTCTTCTCACCACTCTGGTTCTCCTGATGAGGCTGATGGCAACAGGCCAGGCCTGGGCGGCAGACGGTGGGAGAGTAGCAGACAGGGTGCCTGGGTCTCGGGACGCCTGCCACCCTCTCTGGAGCCCTGGTAGACACCCGGGCGCTGCAGGGCCATTCCCTGCTCAGCCTGGAGGGTGGGAGCCAGTGACGCCGCCAACCCAGGAGGGAAACCCAGCGCCCAGATTGGGTCAAGTCCTTCTGCTTTTACTGCTGCTGAGGGCTCTCAAGCCTTGGCCTTATTTGGTTAAAAAGTTATGAAACAGGGCCTAGAAGAGGGAGCTGAAGGCAGTGGGACATATGAATCTGCCCCCACCCTTAGGCCTGAAATCAAGTTGAATAACCACTTACATTTTCCTCCCTAAAAGGAGCCGAGTCCTCACTTATTTCTCACTAAAGCCACTCGGATATGTCCTTCTGCACACAACTCCCGGGCCATCCTCTCTGACCCGATCTATCCCTGCTGGAAACTCCCAGTTCAGGCTCTACCACCGCTAAGCACAACTTCTGACCCGCCGGCTGCGCGCTCGGCCCCCTCCCGCAGGCTGACTCCCCCCTGCCCCACGTGCCGCTGCAAACACAACCCTTCTTGTCTTCCTCTGGCTTCCTGACTCTCCTGCTCAAGGACCAGCCTTTCTCAGCCTGATCCTCAACCTCTGCGTGGACCCAGGCTCCCATCCCACCTGCTTCCCTCGTTTCCAACAAAATAAGTGCTTCTTCCCTGTCCATTCTCACTGACTTCCTTCCCTCCTCCCAAGTCCGCCTGCTTCCAGCTGAGGGGCAAGGGGGAAGCTGTGGGGAGCACGAAGGGGAAAGGCAGGTCAGAGCTCGGGGTTCCTGGAGAGGGGTAAAGCGGGCCCCCTATTACCTGGGTGGGGCAGGAGAGGGGTGTATCTGCTGTGAGGTCCAGGGTATCTGTTTTCCTTCCCAGTGGCTCAAGCTGATGGGGGAAGAGAAGAGAGACACAGGTGTACTCGGTTTCCACGGAAGCGAGCATCCCTGGCAGCATCCTGCCGTGGGAAAGCTCTGAACTCGATTTCAGGGGCTTTGGCTTCCACTCCGGGCTCCGCCAGCTGTGGGATCTGGGCGAGTCTCAGCTTCCCTAGGATTCGGCTTCCTCATAACACAGCAGGGCCGTTGAGAAGCTTTAATGAGGCAACATGGCTTAAACTGCCCAGCACGGTGCCGGGCCCGTAGAAGAGGTTAAATATGTGTGAGGGCTCTGCCTTGTGTCCATGGAGAGTCCCTCATCAGACTTAAAGCACCGAGGAGAGGGTGTGGTACTCCTGGGACCGCAAGGCCCCATAGTGTCAGTTCTATAGATGACTACAGACGTGCCGGCCACTGCTCCTCTGTGCCTTGCTGGCAAAGGGAGACCGAAAACACGCTCCTTCTATAGGGGCTGGTGCTTTGCTCCAGACTAGAACCTCAGAGAACCAGGGCACCCCACTTATTTTACCATATTGACCCAAAGGGCCCTGGAGAGCTGGGAGTGGAATTTCTGACTTGGGTGGATGCAGTCTGGGGCGAAGAAAGACATATCCAGGCGCCCATCCTGGAGGAGAGAAATAGACTTCCTTAAGATCCTGCTGGCGCAGAGGGTGGAGAGGGAGCCATGGCTGATTGGTCTGACCCCTGGGATTGACCCCCTAACACCCTCCTCCCCTGGGGGTGCTCCAAGCCATTGGGCTTCTTCAGGGTCTGCTCACCTCAAGAGGGAGATTGAAGTGATCCCACAGATCAATAGCTTTGGGTGACCCCAAGATCCCATCCTCCTTCTGCCCCACAATATCCCTTATTTAATAAGAAAGTGCCATATTGGTTTTTAGGCACATTGGTGTGATGCCCTGGCCCATGCCATGGTTGGGGGAATGAGATCTATTCCCTAAGGAGGTCTTGGCCAGCCAGCTGAGAAAAGCTACTTCCCAGACATTGGCCAGATGGTCCCAGTGGTCTTGGTGGGGAAAAAAAGGCTGACCCTTGGGGCAGGCCTGGCGATACCAGGGCAGCATGTCACCCTCCTCTTTCTTGAGGCACTCAGGGGTGCCCACAGCTCCCTCCAGTTAGGTGAGGGCCTTAGGATAGAGGCCTAGGTGGACAGAACCAAGTCCCCACCCTGGTCCATTCACAGAGCTCTTCTGCTCGGAGTGAGAATGTTAGGCACAGAGCAAGCCAGGGGTGGAAACTGAATACCCGGAACCTCCTTTGTGACTACAGTGTTTTGTGTATGTGGCAGAGAGTGAATATTCAAATCTTGCCTCTTTGTCCCGTATTTTCTATATGATTTTAGGAAGGCTACTTACATCTCTGAGCCTCCATTATATGGGGATGAGAAAACTCACCTCAAAGATTTTAGGTATGGCAAGCGCAGTGCCTGGCACATAGTAGATGCTCAGTAAAATGGAGGCGGCTTTGCCACATCAGGCTGCCTCTTAGGATGCAGCTCAGCTGTTCAAGGAGGCTGCACCCACCAGACTGCCCCTGGAGAGCTGCCCGTGTCTTTCCCACTGTGTTCACACTCTCCTGGAAGCATGTGACATTTCTGCCTTGAATGTCCTCTTCTCTCTGGAAGCCCCATCAGGGAGGACAGGGACCTACCTCCAGGGTGGGGAGCCGGATGTTGTGGAAGAAGGGCTGCAGTACCACGGAGAAGTCCTCCCTCGTGTCGTAGCGGCCTGACTCCACCAGCTCACGCATGCTGCTCTGGGGACACACCCACGGGTGCCTTCAGCACAGGCCCTAGATGCCCAAGCCCACTGGGCAAGGATGGGAGTGGTGGGCAGAGTCCCCATCTCCCTGGGAAATGGGGGTGGGTGCTGACTCAGCACTTCCCTTGAGCAGGCAAATACTTGATTGCAAAGCTCTTTCCAGAGAACTAGAAACAGGTCGGGTCATCTTTTTGTTTTGCTTTAAGTGAACTGCAAGCTCTAAAGGACCAGGCTGGAAGTCTCATAGGAATGAAAACCTGGGAGCAGTCTCCAAAGAACCCCAGGCTGGGACCTGCAGCCTTCCTACCTGGTGAGGAGGTGAGAGGGCACAGCTGGGCCCCCAGGGTGCAGGAGTGGGAAAGGGGGTCCCATGGGACACCCAATGCTACTGTCCTTCTCAGGCCAAGCGTTGGGGTTAAGCCATCATGGGCAGCTGGGCCATGGGGGCTTTGCCACCTAGATTCCTTTGGAACGACTCCAGCCGGGTGCCTGAGACACCTCAGCCAGGTGGGACACAGGAAGGGGCCCCAATGTTGAGGTCCCCCCTCAAACCCTGAACAGCTCTTCCCTTTCCTGTGTGTCTCCCCGAGGGATCTCTGGGCTGGTGTGCTCACTGAGGGGGGCAGAGCGCACCAAACAGTGCCCTCCTTGGTCTCACCTGGTAGGCTCTGGTGATGGCTTCCAGTCTGGCCAGTTCGAGAGAGCTGTCCCGAGGGGTCAGGACACAGTTGCACAGAACGCTGCACAGAGAGAGGGAGGCAGGACCTGGAGCCCACGCTCGGGTCAGGCCTGGCTCTGCCACACGGGGCAGCTCATTGGAGCTTGGGTGTAGGAGCACATGCGCCTGAGGCTCTGATGCATGCACGCAGGGCCGGTTCTAGGCCTGACACGGGGGCCGATGGGTTCCCAAGGGTGCGTGGATGAGCACCCTCTCATGCTAACAGAGTACAAGTAGTGGACTGCAGGCACTGGGCCCGAAGTAAATTATGCTGAACAAATGAATTTAGGCAATGAAAATGCAATGTTTAATTATATATATATAATTTTTTTTTTTTAATTCTCATCTGAGGATATTTTTCCATTTTTGTTCAGATAGAGTGGGAGGGAGAGAGAGAGAAACATTGATGCGAGAGAGACACATCGACTGGTTGCCTCCCACAAGACCCCAACCAGGGCCGGGGACAAACCACAACTGACATTTGACATTCTGGTCAAATGTGCCTTTGACCAGAATCGAACCCGTGACTCATTGGTCTGCAGGCCAATGTTCTAACCACTGAGCAAACCGGCCAGGGCGCAATGTTTAATATTTTAACATAAAATAAAAGTGCAGCCTCTGTTATTGGAGCTGGTTTTGGGGGCCTCCAAGGCTCATGCCCTCAGACACCTCATTAGTTGGCACTTAGTTGGTACTGTATCTTTTGTTATGAATTATTTCATGCCCATAAAATAGACTTACTGTAAAAAGAGATATTATCATACTGGCCAGTGTTGCTCCACAGTTAGAGCATTGGTGAGCTCTTTGGAGGGTCTCAGGTTCAATTCCTGGTCAAGGACATGTACCTGGGTTGCAGGTTTGATCCCCGGTCTCAGTTGGGGTGTGTGCAGTGCCTGGGAGGCCACCGATCAGTGTGTTTCTCTCACATCGATATTTCCCTCTCTCTCTGCTCGCTCTCTCTCTCTCTCTCTCTCTCTCTCTCTCTCTCTCTCCCCCTTCCCGCTTCCCTTCCACCCTCTCTAAAAATCAATGGAAAAAATATCCTCAAGTGAGGATCCAAAAGAGAGAGAGAGTGACAGAGAGACAGAGAGAGAGGATCTAAAGCACTCAGGACTGTGCCTGGTCCACAGTCAGTTCTGTAAAAGTATTTGTTAAATAAACGTGCATACAGGACATGAAGAGTAATAAAATACACATTCAACACCTCATTCCCGCTTAAGAAACAAAAACTCGCAACTGGAAGTTCCCTCCCTAATTCTCTTCCGCTGAAGGTGACTCGACTGGGCAGGTCATTTCCTCACCTCTGCTTCAGTGTGACCAGCCCAGGCTGTCCCTGCACAGGCTAGGCCATGCCATCTCTCAAGCTCTGGCTTGGTCCCAGCCCTGGCCTCTCCCTCTGGGCTCCCCCACGTCACAGAGGTTGGGTAAGAAGCGGGGCATGGCTCCAATCTCCCAGAAAGGGGTGCTTCTGGTACAAGGCCCCCTTTACAGACTTGGGCACATGGACAGACCAAGTCACAAAGACGCCAAGGAGTGACCGCTGCGTGAGCCCGCCCAGGGGTGAACGCTCCTCCGTAGGAGACAGTCAGCACCTGCCTACCTGGCCTGCTGCACTGGGCACTTGTCTGGGTTTCCCAGGTACACCTGCCGCATGACACTGGGGCTCATGAAGTCCACAAGGTTGACCAGGGCTCTGGGCACCTGAGAGCGAGGCCGAGGGTGAGAGAGGGGCTCCCGGGGTTCCTCCCTCCAGCTGCTTTAGGGCCCTGGGAAGTGGGAGCAGGCCCTAGGGTCCCCGCAGAACTCCAGCTCAGACATCCCCAAGTGCGGTTCTGCAGGGGCACCCACACCGGGCTACCACCTAGGATCCTGCAGGCCGTGTGCCCACATGGGCTCAGTGTGCGTGGCACCTCCTGCGATGGGACGGAATGGCAGACCCGGGGCTCAGTGCTGCGAGTGCAGCTCCGTTCAGCCATCAGCCAGTGACCCCAACTCTGTTAGCTTTAAATTTAGTGGGACAGATACCCTATTTGCCAGGACAGCAGCCCTTGACCATGCCTCTCTAGCCCAACCTGGACTAACTCTGCTGAGCAGACCCCAGGACTCAGCCACCCAGAGGACCACCTGGTGGTCGGAGTATAGGAGTGGCCTGCCTATACCAGGGGTGGGGACAGAGCCCATTGCTGGGTACTGGACCAGAGAAGGGCTTGCTCTGGACACACGGGGTGGCCCCGAGTGTAGTGCCCAGCGTGGGAGCCACCCAGCTGCTGCCACCAGGTATGTCCCAGGTACTGGGGGAACGGGGCTATCAGTGCGCACACTGCCTTCTCTCTTCAGGCCTCAGGTCTTTCTGGGCTGATTCCAAATGCAATGAAGCTTCCCTGTGGCAGGCCCAACCTCTAGAAAGGGAAGGAGCCCTTGCCTTCTTTCCCCATCCGCCTTTGCCCCACCATGCTTGGGCTGTTACCACCCACCTCTCTATGCAGCATGTCCAAGGCATTGCGGAGACGGTCAAAAAAGTTGGCTGCAGAATAGAGATTCTGGGAAGAGACAGGAGGGAGAGGAGGAGCTGGTTAAGAAGAAAGGGCCTCGGGGCAGATGCAGACCCCGCTGGCTCCAGCCCCAGGGACTTGTTCTCCCTCTGGCCTGCAGCTGTCGCCAGCTCATCGTGTCAGAATCTGAGATGAGCAGCTGACCACTGGCTGTTATCAAAGATCAGCCCGCAGAAGGCTGGGACCCTCGGCCAGAGCTTTAGTTCAGGAGCAGAAAGTAGAGTCTTCCTTCTTTCTGCTTGGGGTTTACAGCTCTTTTCTTTCTGGAGCCTCAGGAATTGTAAGAGAGGAGAGTAGAAGCACCATCGATCTGCCGCCTGCTACCTCACACCACCTGGGGCGGGGAGGTGGAGCCAGAAACCGGAGGGTCATGGGGTGAGAAGTGAGTGCATGCACACACACACAGGTGTAGCTGTACAGTCCTAGGGTTGATTCTAGGGACTGTTCTCCAAGATGATCTCCAAAGCCTACAGGTCAAAGTCAGAAGCAATGAGAGCCCCCCGCCCCCGCCGTTACCGAATCTGTGCAGTAGTCACACAAGTCACTGCCTCCAATCAGCACTGTGATGACCTTCCAGTCCTCTTGGAAATTTACTCTCTACACAGAGGAAGGAAAATGCTTGATGATTTTCAACAAACACACACACACACACACAACAGCTCTAAGACTTCCTTGCCCACTTGAAATAATAGAATCAGAACCTCAGAGCTGAAATAATTTTAGGGGTTTATTTATAGACCACAGAATCAGCATTAGAAAGGACTTTCACGGTCATTGTGATCAGCAGCAAACCTGTCCCCATTGACCATCTCCTTCAGAGGGTTTCCACCAAGGAAACCTGCTGCTTGAATGCCCCTAGTGACGGGGGGCTCACAGTTTTCATAGCAAACCAATCCATGTAGAGACTTTTGTGGGTTAAAAAAAATCAGTATTTCATCTCAGTGAAAAATCTGACTCACGTGATCATCTTTCATCCTCTGCACCAGAGTCCGGGCTTGGCCTGTAAGTTCCCTGAAAAGGGAGGGAATCAGGCCTGTTCAGGGACAGGGCCTGGAATTTTCCTCCTCAAAGGCCTGTACTGGAGGTTTCCATGCCATTATCCCCACTGCATGAGCTACAGGACCCCGAGGCTCAGGGACAAGGCCCTCCTTGCCTATTCTGGAGAGTTATTACCACAGACAACCCTTTGAAAAGCCAATTTTGAATTTTTCCTGAAGCAGGTTCTGCCGATTATATTTGTTCCTCATAGTCTCCTTTCTAGAACCACACGTGCAGAGTGTATTATAGGAGTCCATGCTAGGAATCATTCATCCCCTTTGGAGGACTGATTTAGCTCCTGACATGAGATCTATGGAAGTTTCGGCTGCTGGGACGCGGAGATTGTGGAGCTCCGGCACAGTCACTATAAAAATGCTCACATTGACAGAGTTGCTTCCTATCTTTCTCCAGTGGCTGTGATTTTTCTCTTAAGTATATGTTAATTGTATTATTATTTTTTAAAGTAAACTTATCTAAATGCTTCTTTTAGAAAGAGATGGAGAATAAATATACACTGTACATGTGCATGGGTTGATAATTCACGGAAGGACTGGCCCTCAGGCACCCTGAGCTCCCACTAGTTCAAGGGCCCTGTCACAGGCCTGGTGGGATGGATCCACAGCACGGTGGTCTCCTGGGGCCCGATGGGGGGTCCATCTGTTCCTAGCTATTTCTGTTACCCAGGCTGAGTGAACAGGTCTGGGGGCTGTGCCCACCAACCAGAGGGTGTGGGCCTGAGCAAGAGATGACAGTGTGACAGAGGCTCAGACAACTGGGCTGAAACAAGGAAAGCCGGGCTGCTGGGGCCTCTGGGGCAGCAAGGGGCCTCCTTGGGAGGTGGTCCCGGGAGGCCAAGCGCTTCTGCCGTAGCGGTCCCTTCCTGCGAGCTCTGCCGTGGGGCTGGCGACGCGCGTGGCTTGCGGCCCCAGAGGCCTCTGAGGAAGGAGCTCCTGGCTTGCCCATCCATTCGTTTGGCCCTGATCTTTTGGGGAAATTGCCACTGGTAAGGCTTTGGCGAGAGTGCGTCTCTAGCACCATCACGCCATGGTTAAGTTTCAAGAATTGGATAAGGCTGGTCAGTTAGTTGAATGAGTAGAACATGCTGCACATGGAAGTAAGGTCAGGGATCAGCCTTTGGGGCACGGTCCTGTCCGAGCTCCAGCCTCTCTAGCTTGGTCACAGGGTAGGCAGGGAGAAGAGGGGCTGAGTGCCTTCCAAATCGCTGCCGCAAATGGATACATGTCCCCTTTGCACCCGGAGGGCAGTCTCACAATCTTAGAGGGGAAGGCCTCCCACAGGGCCCCCTTCCCAAATGCGTACTCAGCCTTTGCTCCAGGAACAGCCTGGTTGAGGAACGCATTCGTGTCGTTGGCGTTGCCGGTGCCCAGAGCGTAGCCCGTGAGATCTCTGTTAAACTTCCGGAGGATGTCTGGAAGAGGAGAGGCGAACGGGACAGAGACTTGGGACAGAAGGCCAGGGATCTCCTGTGGTCTAACGTTCCCACAGTGGGCTGTGACCACCCTCAGGCAGCCCTGGGAGAGGCAGGTGGAGTGCGTGCCCAGCAAGACTGTGGCCTCAGTGAGATGACACGTCCAGATGACAGGGTGGCCCAAGGCAGCAGGAGCCTCTCCGCCTTTCCCCCACAATTCAGAGAACTGTGCAGTGACCTCTCACTCTCTCATTTGATTGTCTCCTCACGTTCTGGGCCAGTCGCAGAAACCGCGGCTCAGATCTTTGATGACAGGCACACAGAAGGCCAGGGCTTGACCCCAGGTCTCTGGGCACCAAATAGTGTTGATTCTACCCCCCTCAGCCGCCAGTCTGCAAGCCTCGCCTCCCACTTCCTTTTGCTGTTGTTGTTTACTGAAGTATTGGTTCCGTGTTTGTTTATTCACAGGTTATCTATCTCCATGCCAATCTCCATTCAGAATTTAGCGTCTCAGTCACACAGCATCTTCTGTGCCAGGTGCTCTAAAGCAACAGAGGCGTTGACTGGGAACGCACAGGCAGAGCTGAGCAAGGAGCCACAGCATCGTTGTTCTGAGAGGGCTCTCCACCTGGGCCTTTCTGTGCTCAGGCAAGTTAATGGAGTTCCAAATAATACGTCTAAAACTGATCACAGTACGTTTATATTGGCCGAGAGTGACCTCTACCCAGACAGGAATCAGTGTATTTAGTGGCCAACAAACCTGTCCTCCCATTTCAGTGGTAGTCAAAAGAAGATGCTGCTCTGGCTGGTGTGAGTCAGCAGTTAGAGTGTCAGCCCGTGCACTCTAACCACAGGGTCATGGGTTTGAGTCCCAGTCAGGGGCACATACCTGGGTTGTAGGTTCGATCCCCAGCCTCGGTCAGGGTGTGCGTGGGAGGCAACCAATTGATGTGTCTCTCTCATATCAATGTATTTTTCTCTCTCACTCTCCCTTCCACTCTCTCTAAAAGTCAATGGAAAAAATACCCTTGGGTGAAGATTAAAAACATCATCAACAACGAAGAAAAATGCTATTTCCTCCTTTCTTAGCTGAGAGACATCTCAGGAAACCTGGGGTTCAGATGCAAGGAGCGGAGAAACGCAGCCCCTGGTGGTTACTTACTGGGTAAGGTGGTCACGGTCTCCAGGGAGCCGTCTCCTCCTGAACTGCAGGGAGTAAGCCAGTGAGATCGCGTCAGCACGTAGGTTTGTCTTTGTAGCACCCGCACCATCAGCCCCCGTAAGAGGTCAGGCCCATCTCTTTGTGTTTGAGGGATTCTGAGAACGTTGGAATTCCTCAGTGGGTGGATTCCCCTCAAATCCAGGATTTGAAGGCAAAAGAGAGCTGTTTCTTTTCTCCACCCAATCAAGGGGGAGAGCACTTAGCTGAGTATATACTATGTGCCCAGCCAGGAACTCGACTCTCTTCATTAGGTCTCACATCTCTCCACAAGCTCATGATGTAGATGCCACTATGCCCATTTTACAGAGCGGGAAGCTGAGGTGCACAGGGGTTCCCTGACTTTCTAAAGGCTACTAAAACCCACAAAGGTAACAAAAAACCAGCTTGAGCTGGAAATCTTTAGCAAACGGAGAAGCTCTCCTCTGTCTAGTGGTGAGGTCTATACCCCTGCGTTCCAAAGCCCAATCTAATTCCATCCGATCTAATAACGTTTTCTGGTCCTCAATCTAACCTTAAGACACACTCGAAATTTCCTTTCCTTTCATGATTCAAACTGAATACATGTGGGAAGCAAGGAGAGAAGCATTTCTATTTTAACAAAATCCAATGTTCAGATACTATATTTACTGTTGTTTTTCTTCTGCATCTCTCTCCTCAATCCCAGCATATTACTCTGGGTCAACAGATTATGAGAATATTCAGCCCATCAGTAGAGGCTTCCAAAGGACAGGCCATGAATCAAAGTCATGCTGTTCTTTATTCAAGGAATGCTTGGAATGAAGTTGACTATTTTACACCAGAGTGGTCAAGGGCTTAAGCAGAACCCTCAGCAGCCCCTGGTGGTGGAGAGAGAGAAGCCAGGTAAGCCCTGCCTTCTACCTTCACTCAGATACTTCTCTCCCACCTCCCCCCAAAATGCCTGACCCTAACCTGGCTGGTGGTTGGGCATTTATTTGAGTTTCTGATTCTTTACTGACTCTGCACAAAGTGCTGCTTTAGCTGTTTCTGGTCTTTCTTTTTTTGGACTAAAAGCCCTTAATCAGAATATGTCACACTTGAAAGGAAATTATATATCATACACCATCTCTAATTACTGTATTCTAACTGCTTCCTTTTCTCTTTCAATAAACACGTAAACATAAACACAGAAACATACATAAACACACACGTCAAGCACTTCCTGTACAAGGCATCTCTGTTGTAAAATAAGCGTTGCGGCTGATCAAGACCAATAAGCTACGGAAATCTGAGCCCATTTTAGAGTGAACGTTTCCAGGAGAAAAGAGAATTATACGAATAAATATGGAACAAAAATGTTTAAGCCCTCATTTTGATCAGAACTATGTGAAACATGAAAGAAAACAGGTCCGCATGAACTAGTCTGTGGAGACCTGCAGATTCATTAGACCGTGAGCTCAACGGCTGGACGTCGTTCCTCTGTGGCCACCACGGTGCAGAGAGATACACAGGAGGTGCTCAGCCACATTGTTTAAGGGAGTTTCAGCGAGGCAAGACTGAGCTCCTAATTGACAAGACAAAGAGATGCATTTTGTGGTAAGTAAATTTTATTTTGGTCCTTTGAATGGTGCCAAACAAGAAAACGTATTTCAACTGAAGAAAAGGCAACGTTCTGAAGAGCCCTGGCCCTGCCACACTGTTAGGCTATGTGATTCTCACGGTCACAGGGCCTCGGCAGAGTCCTCAGCCAGACTTCCTTCTGCGTGTCCTGCCCACAGCCACCCGTCTCCCAAGAGCTCAGGGCCTGCTTCTCCCCCGTCCAACTCCACGAGGTCCTCTCTGTCCACTTTCCTCGAAGAGGCTCGACGTGCATTTCTAATTTACCTAGAATCATTCATTGCCCAGCATTTCCAAGCTAGACGCTTCATTGACTTCAGAAAATTGCTTTTCTCAGATTAGTCGGATACAGCGATTTTCACTTTTTCATCTCAGGGCACACATAAACTAATTACTAAAATTCTGCAGTACACCACAAAAATATCTTTTTTGCCAATCTGACCAAAAAAAAAAAGGTATCACTTTTATTCCTTCACACTGAACAGCTATTGCTGTGTAGGCTGTTGTTATTTTTCCATGTGACAATCTAAGGGAAGAGAGGTCGGTGCCCTTGACTAAATCATCAGGTATTGCATGTTCTCAAAATTCTTGTGGCACACGGTTGGAAACCACTGGTCTAGTCATGTACGGTTCCCAGGGGGTGCTAATAGGTATCTGAGCATAGAAAGCAAAGTGTTCTGGTATTAAGGGAAACACTGGATTAAACAGGTACAATTTTTTAAAATTTCTTCACTGTAGGTATTCTCAGAGACTTAATGTGCTAACATGCATGTGGATTCCCCAGAGGGAGGATATAGTAGGTAATGTTTCCCCCCCAAATACAAAAAAGTTTGCCCTCTTCGGGAGCATGTCTGGAGCACGTGTTCCATGGAACACACTTTGGGAAACAGTCTCTTTATTCTACCATGTGTCAAGCCGTCTCTCAGACTCTGACCCAGAGCTTCCGTCTTTAACACGTGGGGATCTTGGGAGAGGTATTTGAAACGTTTAGAACAAACCAAGGGTTTAAAGGGACAGCAGCCACTGAATATGCGAGGCCCTGGAATGAGAACCACAAGACGGAAACATTAGGCCTTGCTGGATGGACCTCGCGTGTAGGAATAATTGGTGCAATGGCTGAGTGTTTCCATCGCTGCAGAGAGACATTTATCAGAAGACTGCCTGTTGCCTCCGACTCTCAGAACCTGTCCAGTTGAACTGTTTGTGAAGTTGGGCAGCTCACCTCCCTTACCCGGACTGCGCCTCCAGGTACAGCTTCTCCGTGGCCCGTGGGTGGTCCATCTATGCCCTATTTTCCCACCCTGCGATGTGAGCCTGCTGCCTTCGCTGGCTAAGACTAATGCAGCTGCCACAACCTCATCCTTGTCCCAGACTGCAACGACTCTGCTTCCTTTCTCTCCCTCTGGCTTTCGTTTCTCGCGGCCTCAGTAACATTGGGGCAGGCTGGGCAGGAGGGGAGGCTGTTTTGCTCCGAGGTGGCCAGTCAGAGACCACCCACCTGGCTGAGGTGTGTGGACCTAGGACATCAGGGCCGGGAGGCATTTCCCTCACTCTGGGAGTGATGTCTTCACCTACCCACACCGGGATCCTCTCTGCGGGTGGCTACAGCCTGAGCCAGGACACCTCTCTCACCCAGGAAAACCTCTCTCTCTGAGACTGTCCTCAGGGTTGACCAGGGAACTGTCACAATCCTAGTCTTCCCCAGGGTTCCCTCCCACTTTCTCGCAAGAAACGATTCACTTGAATTCACTGTGAAGGAAAGGGAGGAGCCAGCGGTCCTTGGGCCGCCCAGCTTCCCATTAGCGCCCTGCCCTCTGGTGGCTGCCCTTGTCCTGGCGTTCTGAATTCCGAGCTAGTCGCCAGTACTGCGAAGCATGCATAACGGGAACTTTATTGGGAAAGAAACTTAAGAATACCCACATCCAGTGGCTCCCCTGCGCTTCCCTACGTCTGTGTCTGGAACGTCGTCCTCACCCTCTCCACCTACCTAACTGCAAACCTGTGAGGACTTGGCTGGGTCCCACCTTCTCGGGGGGCCGGGTGGGTTAGCCCCCTACACTCCTGCAGCGCTCGGGCATCACGTCTCCGGAGCACTTGCCGAATGAGCATAAGCATGTGCCTGTTCCCGCGCAGCCCCCTCTTCCCACGTGTGCTGGTTGTGATTTTGTCTTGGTTATTTCCTCCTGAAGTGTGCTGCACTGTGCAGTTTTTGTACAGATGTGTACATACATGTAAAGGCAGAAGGTGACTACAGACCGACACGAACGAGCACATATAGACAGTAAAGAGATGTCACATTAACACGCAGACAGGCAGGTGAAGGCTCAGGGATTTGGTGCTTTTCGGGTGCATTTCATGTTGGATTTGCTGACCCAGGAGTCTGATAAGAACCCTGGTTTGCTTTTTCTGCACAATTTAAAAAAAGAAAAAGAAAGACATGGTCACCAAGAGTAAAAGATCTCTCCACTCACCACACTGTCATATTTTACACATACACAGGTTTTTCTCCTGAAAGCACTTCCAGACCTGGTCCTTGCTCCTTGGCATTTATGCATTTACAGGAGACAAACCCTCACCCAGTCTCTGGGAGTGCACATGGGATGGGAGGGGGTCAAGGGTTAACATTACCTATAGGAGAGCCCCCGATACTGTGTGGTGACATCAGAAAGGTCGTCTGGTTTTGAGCCAATTCCGTTGCCAGCCTTTGAAAACACACCAAAATCCACAGGAAAATCAGCAAGTCAGAGAAAACGGAGGCTGCGGTGTGCAGGTGTCTGCAGGTGGTCCCCACACACTGCTGCCTCCTTACTGCCCTGAGGACATTCCTTGTCCTCTCACAGGCTTCTTCTGATGACCAAATGGGACTGGAGTTGTAAAACTGGTTTGGAACTCTAAAGTGCTTTACAAATGTGAGACACTGTTACATTATTACTACCAGCGTCATGCTCCTAAGTTCTGTATAAGCAAGGAAGGAAGAGTCCATAGGTCTGAGTGGACTGCAGTGGGCAGATTTCTCAGCAACTTTACATTTCTCTTCCTTCCCTCCTGGACATTCTGTAAGGCAATCTCGGGCTTCAGAAAGCGGTCCTCTGGGATGGTGAAAGTGCCCAATTTCTCAGAACCGAGGAGCAGAGCTTAGCCCCAGCCCTGGAGTCTCTGCTACTCTCTGCGCAGACGCCAAGAGGAAACCGGTGGGAGGGCCTGAGCTGCTTGCAAAGCATCATCCGAAGGGAAAGAGCACCCACACAGGTAGGTGTAGAAGATTTTTTTAGTCAAAATGGCATTTTTGCAGTTGTCAAAAAAGTGTTGTTAGGTGTTAAAACTTCCACTATCTGAGTGTATTCAGTTCACGTCCGAAAAAGGCTTCCCTTGGCCCAGCTGAGTGAGCAAGTGGCTGCAGAACCACCATCACCATGCTCTTGGAATGACAAGGCCAGGAGAGAGGGGGATAATGCAGGAGTCAGGAGTGCACGCCCTGCAGTTAGGACTGGGACCTGCAACTGACTCAGCCACCCCCACGCCACCGGGGCCCAAGAGTCCTTACAGTCAGAGAGTCCCCCAGAGCAGCCACCACTCGGATATCTGCAGGTCTCAGGGCGTGCACTGGAGAGACAAGTGGACACACTTGAGTCTGCAGGAAGGAAGCTGCAGGCTGAGTCTAGTGCTTTTCTTTTTTAAATATGTTTTTATTGATTTTTTGAGAGAGAGGAAGGGAGAGAGAGATAGAAACATCTACTTGAGAGAGAAACATCGACTGGCTGCCTCCTGCAGAGCCCCCACTGGGGATTGAGCCTGAAATTTAGGCATGTGCCCCGAACAAGAATCAAACTGGGACCTCTCAGTCCATGGGACGACACTCAGCCCACTGAGCCACACCGGCCGGGCTTGTCTAGTGCATCTTTAAGCAAGATCAGAAACACCAGCGCGCGAGTGTCTGGGCCACGCAGGACTGAGTGTCCGTGGTGCCCTAGAGGCAGAGGTTATGTAAAGACAGACTTTCCCCATAAGACACACAATGAAGGAATCCTGGACCTGTGGGGAGGGAGAGGCACTGAGAGAGAGGGAGAAGGAACGAGAATGGAAGGAAGGAAGGGAGGGAGGGAAGAACGGAGGGAGGGAGGAACGGAGGGAGGCATGGTGGATCCCACCACAGTAGTGCCAGCAGTCACGTGGGCTGCCAACTGTGACTTGAGTGCACAACCAGATGGGCACTGAACCATCTGAAGCGAGGTTCAGGGCCTGATACACAGCCCATTTAGAGCTGGGTTCTGGATTTCCATCAGGAATCTGAGAAATCATCATGGCAGGCCTTTCTGTGCCCCACAGTGTCTTCCAAAGAGTCCAGGGAACTTGCAGCCCTGCAGGGGGCCATGGTGGCAGAGCCTAGAGCCCCGGACAATCCGCAGAGCTGGCACCCTCTTGGGGCTCCCTCGATACCCACGCCCCGCCTCTGGGCCTTGGCGGGGTCACACCACAGGGCTGGCTCCCTGGGTGGAGCGTACATGGGCTCCCTTCGAGGACTGAGATGGAGGGACACCGCTGAGCTCCCGCTCGGGGCCTGCTAGGTAAGACCTCTCTACAGGGCAGAGGGAGACCAGTCAGAAACTCGTCCCAGGCCACCTCCCAGACAGGAAGCAAGCGCTGGCCATGACTGTGTCATTGAGTTACATATGACAGTTTTTGTCAGGACATTCCAATGAATGTTCTGGGTCCGCGCGGAGAGGTCCTGCATCCTGGGGTACACAGGGGCTTACCTGAGGTAGGCGGTGAGGCTGAGGGGGCTCTGTCGCCACACGGCAGCTGGCTCCCGTGGTCCTAAGGACATAGAATGAGTCTCAGGGGTGAAAGGGACCAAAGAGGGCAGCTAAGTGTCAGACATGAAGAGCTTTAATAAGCACAGATTCCTGTCTCCCCCCACCCCGACCCCCACCCCGGGAAGGAGCCCAGAAGGGCATTTGAAGACGGTTGTGATTCTGAACATCAGCCACTCCCAGGATCTGCTAACCTAGTTCAGACCCTCCACCAACTAATGCAAGAATCGCGCATCAACAACATGACCCGCCCCCCGCCCCTCCCCTGCTTCCCCAGCAGCTTATGGGGAGGCTGGGATCTTCCCCTGTGTCTTCGCTGCGGCTGTGATTTGACCGGCTGGGCACATTCTGGGCTGTCACTGATGGAATTTACCTGCCCTCCACCCAGTCTGAGGCCTAGGTGGGTGGACTTTATAAAGTGTGTGAACCCCCTCGCTGTCACCCACCCTGCAGGGCCAGGCCCAGCTCAGGGCTGCCCACGGCATTGGCTGAGATGAGAGAAAGCAACAGGCAGATACCTGCACTCTGTTCTTGTAGGTGCTCAGAAACGGCCAATCCTGCGAGGAGAGAGGTGAACTCGGCTTGCTTCCTGCCTTGCTCTCTGCTTGCCCACTCTCAAGAGGTGCTGACCTCGTCATAACACTTTAAACACCTTTGGCCTCCCCAGCCCACCCTGCAAGCCCCTCCCTGCCAGGCGGACCCTGGGGCACCTTCCCAGGACACCCTGGGGCCTTCTCTGCAACCTGACCAACCCGAACCCCCAGGAACAATGAGAATAAACCTTCCAGCAACTCCCAATAATGAGCATGTCTTCTTTCACCTCCCACCCAGCTGGCTGGGGCAGCTGTGCCACCTCTTTCTCATCCCTGCCCCTCCCAACAGAGCATCATTTTGTGCTAATACAGGCCTGTGTCCCTATTCCCCGGGACCCTTGCCATCCCATGCCACTCCTACCCTGCGGCAGCCTGGGCTCCTGCCTCATGCAAGCCCAGCTCAGTGGGACCCCGCCGGGAATCGGAGGAGCTCACAGAGGCGAGGGAGCAGCTGCAGAGGCCCACGAATCTCTCAACCACAAGTGAGTGAACACGGGGCTTGATCTGCTTTGCCATCCTGGTTAAAGTCTCCTTTCCGAGCCGCAGCTTCCAATGACCACCCACCCCCGTCCTAGCGCACATTATTCTAGGGCTCAGTTTCTCGCCCTTCCCATCGTGCCATGGAGACTGTGGCTACATGGGGACGGAGTGTCCTGCTGTCCCATCCTACCCTTGACTTCCCACCCTCTAGCCTTCTCAGTGAGAGCTGGATGGAGAGGTTGTGTTCATCTTTCCAACTGGAAAGAGCTGCTTATCGCCCAGATGTGTGCTAGGGCTCACTGTGACATGAAGAGACGGAGGTGCGCTCTAGGGCCCTGTCACAGTCAACCAGATGGGGCACTGTGGATAGCGAACCGGAGTCTGGAAGGAGTGAGTAGGTGAACAGAGCTGGGGGTGAGGATGAGACCCCGGTGTGCAATGAACTGAGAAACCTTAACGAGACTTTAAAAGGCTGGAAGAGATGCTTCAGATGGAGCTGCTGCAAGGACGTGCTTTTCACTCTACCTTGTTCGGACACGTGATATTGATCTCGCTTTCAAAATCATGCTGCGTTGCCTTCTGGCCGACCGGTTCCAGCTAAACCAAGAAGCAGGAAGATGGGGAGTGAGAGAGAGGCAGCGAAGGGAGGGGCCAGGCTGCGGGCCGGGGCTGGAGAAGGCAGGTAGGGACCAAGGAAACAGATTTACTATCATTGCTGTGCTGGGGCTCCCACGACCTGGGCCTCTCTGGCCCCCGAGTCTGAGCTTTCTGGAGTCTTCTTCGGATCAGAGGGAGGAAAATCCTTCCTACCTCGGTCACCTTACCATATTGTTCCAGAGAGCTTTGGCCACGTGGCCATGGGTCTTCTTGCTGAAGTGGAAACAGTCAGGCGCGAAGTAAGAGCTGTCAGGCAACCCCTCCTGCTCACAGGGAAGATAAGAGGGGCCGTGTTGTGAGCCGTCAGGTAATACACATAACACTCAGGAACAGCTGGGCACCACCTGTGCCCCCCATTTATCTACGGCGCTTGCTTTATTTACCGAGGTTTTCGGCATGTCCACTTTTTCGAAGAATGGCTGCACGACCACCGTGAAGTCTTCCCTCGTGTCATAGCGCCCGCCCTCAACCAGCTGGTGAGTCCTCTCCTGCAGGGGCAGACAGCACAGGGGTCAGCGGCTCCCCGCACCGGCTCGGTCTTTGTGCAATCCCTTTCTCTGCCATAGGATCAGAGTCTGACCTTTGAGTAAAATCAGTCTGCAGCTGAATCTCAACTGAGCAGGGGCCAGCTAGTGCTTTTTAGATCAGCCCTGATCTCAACCTCTGTCCCCAGCCTCTGCTGCCACTGTATACATTTGACCCAGGCTGTGAAAAGGGGAGGTAAGGAAAAACCTAAGTCCATCGGCTTGATCCTCTTTAGAGCTTCTGATTAAAATGGGGTGGGGGTACATATCTGATTCAATGACCTGCCTGGATACTCCTTACATTTACTTTATTTCTGTCCTTCATTTGTTCAGAAAATCCAAGGTGACTCACAACAACACTGAATGCTGTGTATATCACGTGTGCCCAGGGTCTGTGAGCATGGGGCTCCCGCGCCTGCATACCCGTGAGACTCTCGGGTCTGTCTAGGAAGGTGATGAAGCTGTTACTCTCTCAGCTGCTACTTGGGCTCAGTTCCAGGAGGACTGATGAACCCAGCTCTGGCTTCTACTTCCGCCAGGCTGCCATCACGCTGCTTGCCAGGTTCTCATCGGCCGGGGGCGAAACCCTGGCTGGAGAGGGGAGTCAGGTTTGCATGCCTGAGAACATTAGTGTGGTCACTTCGGAAGATCCCACGCACTTTCTTTGCCCAGGGTCAGCCAGAGGAGAGCCCCTGTACTGGGAATGCCTCAATGCTGACCTCCCAGGGGAGTCTCCTCGTTCCAGGAAGAGCCTTGAGTAAGGCAGAAGGTGCAATGCCACTAACTAGCTGTGTGACTTTCAGCAAGATGCTTTCTCTCTCTGGACCTCTGTTTCCTCATCTGTAAATGGAGGTTATTTGGCAAGACCTGGACCATCCCTTAAATCCTTGCCAAAGCTACTGGTATCACCCTGAATCAGCCACAATGGCTCACAGTGGCACCACGCATCTTAAGAAATGAAAGAAACCGTCTAGAATGCCTGACACCTGGTAGTACTAAGAGTGGTTATCTCCAGGGGCAGTGATGGGAACCACGGCTTTGGCTGGAGGTGGGGAGTGAGGAGATTCTGAGGGAGGGCGTGACGGCCTCAAGTGGCTGAGCTATGAGCTCCTCCAGGATGCTCGGTGAGGGTTTCAGTAACGGAGATCAGACTTGGGAACAGCTGGCCAAGCGGCAAAGGTTGGAGAGGCAATTTAGGTGAACAGCTCTTTTTGTCTACCCAGCATCTGAACCCATTCCTGTTTGAAAAACTCCGCTGTGTGAGGCTCAGGCAAATGCTGGCTCTCCATGCCCCTCGCAGCCAGGGCGCTGGCAGGTGCCAAGCATCCCCGGTGCCTGCGTTCGCCTCGGCCTGGCTTGGAAACTAGTGGTAGAAAGATGCAGGCGCACAGAGTCCACTCCACTGAGGGTGGCAGCTGCATCCAGTGGTGTCCATAGGGTCTCTCTGGACTCATTCTTTGGCCCAATTTTGATTCTTATGGCTTGACCCCTGAAATTCTGTGGTTCTGTTGGTGTGGCCTCTGATCTGAGCTTTCTAGAACTTCCAGAGATTTTGCCTAAATAAATCTGCTTAGCCTGGCTGGTGTGGCTCAGTGGCTGAGTGTCGACCCATGCACCAAGAGGTCACTGGTTCAATTCCCGTCAGGGCACATGCCCAGGTTGTGAGCCCAATTCCCAGTGGGGGGCATGCAGGAGGCGGCCAATTGATGTTCTCTCTCTCACCCATGTTTCTATCCTTCTCTTCCTCTCCCTTCCTCTCTCTCTAAAATCAATAAAGAAAAAAATATATTTAAAAAATAAAAAATAAATCTGCTGAAATTATCCAGAATGGCACAAGCTTTTGTTGCTTGCTCTCATGGCCACAAATGTGGCTGCCGTCCCTCTCGGGGTGTGGGCCGTGGGGACACAGGCCCTGCTCACAGAGAAGGCAGTGCAGCTGGGGAGTCACGCAGAGGGCAGGGCGAGGTTGTCAGAGCCTGAGAAACAGATTCATCCTCCTGAGCCCTGATACCGCTGACAGGTATGGCCGCCTCCAATAGAGTTTGCAGAGAAGTCCTTGGACTTGGAGGAAGAATCCACCTTGGAAGCTGTTTGCAGTCCACTCTGTCCTCGTGAATGACTGGACAATTAGTTTTGGGATGGGGGGAGACTCAGGAATGAGTCAGGGGAGTCAGCTGCTCTGGTCAAAGCTTTGATGGAGAAAGGCCCCAAACAAATCACCCACGGGGTGTCTTGGAGAATACCTGCTGGCTTTCTTTCTCCACGTGCTCCCCCAAAACACCTGCTCCCCTGGGAGAGGCGGGCAGAGGGAATGCATGTTACCTCATGGCTCCTTCAGACTCTGTTGGGTGGGAAGAGTTTCCCACTGGGAGCCAGCGGCTCCACCACACTCCCCATGGCCAACCGTGAAGGTCAGGAACTGAGGCTTGGTGATGTGTGTTCAGTGCCTTGGCTCTATAGCTTGATTCAAATAAATGGAACCACAGTCCCTGCTGCCTTGCAGGGTGTCTTTCAGTCTGCAAACGGGTCAGAGGGAACCTCACATGCAGTTGGGGTCAAAATAAGGTAGGCATCTGCTCATTTTCCAACCAGAACAAACACACCCCACCTTTTCTGCCTTACCTGATACTTCTTATTCACTTCGATGAGGGAGGCAAGTTCTGTTGAGTTATCATCGAACTTCAGGACACAGGGGCACAAATTCCTACAGAGCAAACGGAAGAGGTGGCCCACCCCCCAAATCACCGTCTGAGCACACGATGCAGAAACGGTGGCTTGAGATTCAGAATCTACTTAACATGGAGGTACCAAGAGTCTGTGCTAATGGGGACCCTGGCTGGCTAACCTGGCAACTGTACTGGATGAACCGGAAGAGAATTTCCCAGACCTGGATTTGCTCATGAAGAGGAAACAGTTACTTCCTCTGACATCTGCAGGAGAGACTTTTATGGAGCTGTTACCTCGCGACAGTCTGAAGACAGGGCGGCGCATGAAGCACACTTCCTTTTAAATAAATAATAGTGACGACGACGATAATAATAATGGCTAATGTATACTGAATACTTACTGTGCCAAGAGCTTTATGGGTATTAACCTGCTCAATCCTTTTTAGCTATTCTAGAAGTTGTACTATCATTATTCCCATTTTATAGCTGAGAAAACTGAGGCTCAGCATGGTCATTTTCTCAAGGTCAGTCACACCAATGCTAATTGTAGGAGCCAGGACTTGAACTCAAGTCTGCCTGGTCTGAACCTGAGCTCCTGATTCCTGGTTAAACGGCTTCTGTTCAGTATGTAGCTGCGGCCTGGCTGGCCATCTTACAAATCCGGGCATTTGGTCCAGGGGGCTAAGGTGATGAGAGTGCGGATGGCTCGGCGTAGGCTCAGCACCACCCTGCGATGGAACAGCAGCGAGGCAGGGAGGGCAGCGCGCTGGAGAGGCGGCAGGACAAGGTGACCTTGAGCCTGCCTAACCCACAGTCAGTGACTTGGCCATTTCAGGTCTGAAAACTAACCTGGCAAATGCCTACTCTGAACCTTTAGCTTCAATGGTCTAAAAACCCTGCGGTGATCGGTAGCAAGACACTCTTGGGTGAGCTGCTCTGAAATGGAATGAAAACACAGCCCGCGTGGCCCAGTGACTGGAGAAAGTGGGAGCCAGGGGATGAGTCAGCAGCTGAAAATAGCACGTCTGACCCCAGCTGCGTTAATAGGCAGGTGTCAGCCAGCAGCCGTCCTCCTGTGCTCAGCGCCCTGGGCCTCCCAAGGGCCCTGCGCGGTCTGGGCCCCAGGTGAGGGTTGGCAGGGATCTTCAGGGGAGCAGCCAAGATACCCTTTCATTTCGAAGACCAAATCTGGCCCTTATGAATTATCCATTCAGCCATTCTAGCCGTGCTAGCAGTGACTCAGGCAGAGTTCAGGGCTGTGGGAGGGGCAGATGAGTAATCACCACATGACATGCTCGGGGCTATGGTGGGGTGAGGTACAGAGCTGGGCGGCGGGGTGGGCACAGCCGCCACGACCTCAGCTAATGGTCCAGGGGAGGCCTTGCAGGAAGCAGGGCTCTGTGAAATGTTCATGCTCCGGTTAAAAGGACATCTTATTGCTGAAGGTCATGGACATGCGTAATACTAGAGAGGGAGCCACCTTTGTTTGGCTCTGGAGACTGGGGATGAAGAAGGCCTCCCAGGGGCCTTCCCAGGACCAGGGCTCTCTGTTCTCTGGAAAAGACTGTCCGCCAGACCCTCCTGGTTCTGATTTGACCACCCTCTCCTCCATCGAAGGACAATAGCCCTACATTTGTGAATGCCCAGCCTGGAGCACCATGCCAAGCAGAGGCGCCCTCTGTCCTGGCGACGGGCCCCTGGGATGTGGGGAGGAGCTCTGACCCCAGCAGAGGCCACTGAGCCTCATGGCACCCCCAATCCTCATGCTCAACTCTTCCCTCCCTGGAGGACCGAAGGGTGTCCTGCGCTGCCATGACAACAGGAGCATGTTGGGGCTGCAAACACATACTCCAAGGGGAGCTGAGGTCTATGCTGGGGTCACAGGCTACAAAACGGGGTGGTCTCGGCACTCCTCACACTTCTGCCCTCCGGTTTTCTAACTCGTCAGCGTCGCTTTCTGCTAAGGGTCCTATGGGAACAGGAGTGGAAGCTTACCTGAGGATCAGCCTCGGGCAGAAGACTTTCTTCTCAAGGTACAGCTCCCTCAGGTTGACGATCTCCAGCACCTTTACCAGGTTTACAAATGCCCGAGGAACCTGCGCAAAAGCAAGACCAGCCCCTGAGAGGACTGACCGGCAGCCCCTCCTGCTGGAGGAAGGTCTGTGGCCTTCCACCTGGCCCCGTCCCCCTCCCCATCAACACCCATGTGTTCAGGCCGACAGTATGCTCATGCTGGTCTCCAGGGAAAGGCGACCTGACAAGGAGGTCTCAGCCAGAAGCCAGAGCCACCCCAGGCTAGGTCTGAGCCCCCAGAAGAAGTGTGGTTGAGCTGCTCAGAGGCATGTGACCCAGCCTCTGTACCTCAGCGTGGAGGATGTCCAGGGCCTTCCCAATGTTGTCAGTGAAGTTCTGGGGAGAATAGTGGACCTGCAGGAAGAGGAAACATCTAAGACCATTTGTTGCCCAAACTCTACACAGACAGGGCTGCTTCTTCTCTTGGGTCCCCTCCTTCCTGTATTCCAGCCAGAATGGGCAATATTGAAATACAGGTTTGCCTTGGGGCCCCCAGCTCCACACCACCCCCATAGTCCTCAAGCTTATCGTGGCTGTGACCTGTCCTTCCACGTGGGAACACCCTCTCTCCTGCACGGAGCTATGGGAAGCTCCAGATCCACCTTTTATCAACTAGACGCAGGGCCTTAGCCAGGCCCGGCCCGTCTCAGGGCCCCTCTAAAGGGGCTGTTAGAACGGAGGGTCTCTGAGGTCTCCGGCAGCTAGACCATCCTCGGGTCCTATGCCTGGTCTCTTCTGCTTAGAGCCTTGCGTGCCAGGGAACCCACAGCCCAAGCAAATCACTCAAGGAGACAATGGAGGGGAAGAGGGTCCTGTGAACCCTCTCCCAAGCATAAGCACATTTTAATGATTATTTCTCTTGATTTTGTTATTTGTGGTTTTTAAATTTTTGTTTTTAAAGCAGTGGCACTTTTTCTGAATGAAATCTAACCAAAGCCCTGCTCTACCAAAGTCAAACTTGCAGGGAAGGGGCAGGGCCTGTGATCCTGGCCTGGCAGCCCTGGGCTCCGCTGTGGGCCCCTTACATCATGGCTACAAGACCCCAGACCCTGGTGACCTTGGCACCGGGAAAGGACAAACCTGGAGGGTAGGGTCGTCCCTCAGGGCCGGCGCTCCCAGGCCACAGCAAGACTCGCCGCTTTCTACATTTCATTCAGCTGGTCCTCTTTCTGCCTGACAAATGTCCTAGACTGCAAGTGCCCGTGGGACGCCCCCTGCTCCGTGTAAGCTTCTGATGCTCCTCCCAGCCCGATGCCACACTCTCAGGGCAACTCTGACCTCAGACCTCCGTGTGCGTGGCTAGACCGCATCACGGCGTTTCCCCCAGGGTGTTGTGGCGGACTGTCTGTGTCTCCTCCCTGACGGTGTGAGGTTCTGAGGACAGAGCCTGTGTGTCACTCATCTGCTTAGCTCCTAGTACAGTGCCTGGCATACAGTACATGCCCAGCAAATGACAGTAGAAGAAAAAACATCCTGCTTACCAGAAAACACTGTAAATAAAGCTAAATGGGAGACAACAAGTAAACACCCTATTTGACAAAGGGCTAGTATACTTAATATAAGGGCTTTTTGTAAATCAATAATAAGAAGATAAATACCTTAATAGAAAATGGCCAATAGGCATAATATAGAATTTATCAAAAGAAGAGATTCAAACTAGGGAAATAAAAATTTATTCCTATTTATCCCTAGTGAGTAAATAAATGCAAACGTTAAAAACGGTACAATTTTTTCATTTGTCAGATTGGCAGTTATTAAATAACGTACATTGCCAGTTGGAATGTGGAAATAGGCGTAATTGGTATAAACATTCTGGGAGCAACTTGGCAATATGTATCCAGAGCATTATAATTGTGCATTGTGCAGAGTCACCAAAAAATAAGATGGATGGATATAATATAGCACAATATTAACAACTGAAAAATCTAGGTAGTGGGTTAATGGGCACTTACTACACAAATCTTTCATTTTCTCGGTATGTTTGGACATTTTCATAATAAAAGATTGAGGAAAATACACATATATTTTTGCTTATAAAGCTTACTCCTTAGACTATATACCAGGAAACAATTGTGGATTATATAAATATGGTTATTTATCCTGGTGTTATTTATAACAGGTATAATTAGAAGTAATGTAAGCTAAGTATCCAATAACTACAAACAGTAAATTATGGCCAATCTATACTATGGGCTACTATATTGCCATTAAGAATTATTTTATAGAAAAATAAATATTGACATAGGAATATCTTCCCAATGTGTTGCTATTGAAAAAAAAAAAAAAAAGCAGGTTACCAAACAATATTTTCAGGATGATACCATTTTTAGAAAACAATAAAGCATTTTCTCCATATTCACAGAAAATGCTGGAGACATTTACCAAAATGTTAACCATGGCATTTCTGGATTTTGTAATTATGTTACAGAGAATATTTTTGTCTCCGTACTTTGATATGTTTCCTGTGTGTATTACTTGCATAATTTTAAAAAACACTAGTTTTTTTTAAAGTCAGCTAACTGAATGTAGAAGAGGCATGCCTGGCACAGGCAGAAGTCCGGAGGTAGGTTTGGGTTTAACACAAAGAAACACCTCAAAGCAATTTACACCTACTTAGGAGACTAGTGAGGGCTACCTTACAAATTAAAGAGCTGCCCATCCCTGGACATGTTCAACAGCTGCCTTCTACGGAAGGCTGTTTGGGTGGAGATGGTCAGGATGGCTTGTGGGGTTTCTCCAGCTCAGAGAATCTGGGTTCCAGGAAGAAGCACTGAAGCCCCCGGGCGGCAGCCGGGCTCTTGGTTTTCCCATCAGCCCAGAATGACTGGGCTGTGAACTTTGCCCAAGTGCCCGCGTTAGGAAATCGACTTTCCTACACAAGCAGCGGCATGAAGGTAGAGATGGTGAGGCAGTTCAACATGGGAGAAGGGAGCTGGTTCACAGTGATCTATGAAGATAGGGCAGATTTTTTGAGATCATTGGAATGCTATCTTGGTTTCTAGAATGATATGATCAGGCTCCCTTGATAGGAAACCTAATGAGGATTAATCTCATCATCAGCCCTGCTTGTCCTGTTGCATCTCTTCCTGGAGGTGAATGCCCTCTCGGTCTTGGGGTTAATCCCAGGCTGGATCCATGCCAGACTGCAAGCCCCAAGTCCCAACCCAGCGGCACTGCTCCGGGGACCTGGGTGGAAACCCTTCCCTGGGCAAGTCTTCAGCTGAGGGCCTGGGACCTACCGGGTCATTGCAGAAATCACAGAGGTCGTTGCCTCCTATAAACACAGTTATTATCTTCCAATCTTCCTGAAAATTTATACTCTGAAATGAATAGAAAACAAACAAGTAAATGCCTTACCCCAGAGTCAAGTCAAGGAAAATACAAAGTGATGAACACTGGCAGGGATGGGCCCTCACACACCGCAGGGTTTAGAGGACATTAATGTTTTCTGTTCTTTGGTTTTGGGGTCCTGAGGTCACTGATCATAGGTGTTTTTTGTTTGTTTGTTTGTTTGTTTGTTTGTTTTATCCTCACCCGAGGACATTTTTTCCCATTTTTTGTTCAGATAGAGTGGGAGGGAGAGAGAGGAAGAGAGAGAGAGAGAAACATCGACGTGAAAGGGACACATAGAGTGGTTGCCACCCGCACAACCAACCAGGGACGGGGACAAACTGTAACCGAGGTACGTGCCCTTAGCGGGAACCGAACCCAGGTCTCTCCAGACCGCAGGCAGATGCTCCAACCGCTGAGCCAAACTGGCCAGGGCCTGATCACAGGTTTAATCATTACTCTGTGTTTTGAAAGGTAGAATCCCTGGACACTGGACTTCCATGTGGCCCTGTCCTCCCCTAAAGCTGACTCTTTGTCTCCAGGGGTTTTTCCTGCCCTCGCCCTGTTCTGGGGAGTTCTACCCCGAGTGGTCCCAGGTGGCTCCTCCCCAGACTTACCTTGTCATTCTTCATCAGGTCCACCAGCCTCCTGGCCTGCACAGGTAGATTCCTGCGGGAAGAGCCAGGAAGAAGTGAGGAGAGGGCCTGAAGCTGGGCTGGCAGGGGACTCGGCAGAGGACCGGAATGCAATCTGTAGCAGCAGAGCTGGGCCGAAGGCCATGCTCCTGTCTCAGAGCTGGGGCTGGGCGGGGAGTCGTGTCTCCGCCGTGGGAAGGGCGGAACACTGCGCGAGGCGCTGACTGCCAGTGGGATTGCTTCCCGGCTGGTGTCTGATCACATCCCCTTCTCCCTCCCCAGCCAAGCTCACGCAGAGCAAACAGGCGGCCTGTGAGTGCTCGTGCCCTGCACGGCTCATGCCGCGACCTCAGCCTCCAGGGACCCTCATCCTCAAGGTGACAGAGTTGAGGCAGACACACCTGAGTTGGACATTTAGTTTCCTCTTCGTTAGTGGCAATGTGACCCAATCTAAAAAGACTGTAAACATGGAGCTAAACCCCCAGTCGTAGAGGGTCACCAGGAGCAGTGCGCAAAGCAGCCCCGTGGGGTAAGAGCCCTCACTAGTGCCGGACAGCATGGGTCTGAATCCTGGCCCTGCCACCGAGCAGCTCTGAGACCTTGGCAAAGTACTTAGTCTGCCCACCCTCCGTTTTTCCCTTGTAAGACGGAGATGGTAAGCATCCCTTCTGCATGGAGTGGTTGGGCAGATCAAATAAGGTGCCCATAAAGAACTTGCAACAGCACATGGTAAGCATATATATTAGAAATAATCCACTGCATTCTTTGTACCATCATCATCACCATTATCACCAATAGAGTCCCTGGCACAGTGCCTAGCAGGAAACGTTAGCTGGCATCCGCTTCCTTTAGCTATCAGCCCGACGGACCTGGTCTTGGTCACAGTAGACTAGGTATCAGTTAGCCTGGGTGGGACTCTGGATAAGCCAGGCAACCTCTTTGAGCTTCGGCTTCCTCATCTGTACACGAAGTTCTCAGAGCCGCTGCTCTACGGACCGGAGCTGTGGGATGGCTCGTTGACCTCCCGAGCCTCAGGGTCATCACTAAGAAAGCATGGGTATCTGACCCTCTGCTTTGTCCACCTCATAGTTACCGGATGGAACATGGGGAATAACTGAAACAGGGGTACTCCGTAACCTGCACACTGCTGTATGTGTGTGAGGGGTCATCAAACCCGGGAGAGCGCCTGCGGGCTCGGAGCCTGCAGACCACGTGGCTGAGTCAAAGCGTCTGTCCAGGCCACTTGGTCTCTTCATGCTACAGTTTCTGTGACACGAGAACAATAATCTCTAATAATCTCTAATAATCTTCCCTACCATTCAGGAGGTGCTGGGACAAATGATTACACAGAAGCGCCCCGAGGCCTCCGGGAGAGCAGGGAAGAAATCCAGGGCCACAGGGGTCACACTCTGTTTCGGTTACTTTTGTGACCGAGGTTCCATTCTAGGATGCCTTCCTGACCCAGTCACGCTCAGAGCTGCCTCTCCTCTTACGCACCGGCTGATGTGTGCTTGGAAAGAGGCAAAACTATGCTAATATTAAAGTAAGCCACACATCTGAAGTAGCAAATTGGTAGCCTCCCCCACCAGAACTCGTTCTAAACTGTTAGGTTTCGTAGGCTCTGCTTTGGGTCATTTGTCCCCTTTCCTTTATGAACACAGGAGGGTCACTTGGGTGGCTCACAGATTCAGGATCGTGTGGAGCTAGGAAAATGAAGAAGTTAAGGAATCCAGGAACCAAAACACAGGAACCCCTGGGAACTGCACGGTCAAGTGGAGTTTGTGATTATTCTACAAGAAGAATAGGGACAGGAACCAGAAGGGATCCCTCCGTTTGCTTCTCCTAGATTGGGTGTGTCTTCACTTGCTCTTCACTTACTCTGACCAGGCAGCACTCAAGGCTCTGGGAGCTTGGAGACAAATGGAGTTGTAGGGCCCAGGAAAGCCAACCCTGCTCTCGGGAACCTGCCTTCGGTACCCATGGACCATGACACGGTGGTCCCCTTGTTCACTGACAGCTTCCCCAGGTGGGTCTTGCGTCCCTGTTGCATTGCTGCTGGGACCACCATCCTGACCCAACATATGTTGCTATTTACAGCTCATCAGAACTTCCACATTCAACAGGGCATCAAACCCACAACTACCCCTGGGAGGGTACACAGCCAGCACACCTCTTAGAGGCTAAGTCAGAGAGGCTGGGGGGCGGGGAGCCAGGACTCAGACTCCAGGGACCGGTGTTCTTCCCATGATCCAGGAAAGATGCACAGTCTAGAGCCTGCAAAAGCTGCCCGAAAAGTATATCTGTGGGAGGGAGGGAGCAGAGGCCATGAAACAGAAACCGAGTCTCGGGTGAGCCCTCCTAGGACCTCTGTCCTATGTGGACATGAGACTCACAGACGAGAAAAAAGGAATTTGCTCAAAGCATATACTTGGCATCAGCGTCAACTATGACTAGTTCCTGGGGTGGCGTTGGGGTGGGCTAGCAACTGCCTGTGCCCCACAGCAAAAGACATCCCCAAGAGAGCCCATCTAGTTCAGTCTTTGATCCTTAGACCCTTCGGCTGGACCAAAGCCCCCAGCTGTCAGCTGTACATCCCAATCTAGGCTAAGCTCGGACCAGGTCCCCAGAAGACCTGCGCTGATCACCCCGTCTCCCCTGCTTACTCAGCTCGGTCTCCGGCCACAGCCTGGTTAAAGAAGGCTCCAGAGCTGTTTTCTTTCCCGGTGCCAACAGAGAAGCCCTTCAGGGAAGGATTGAATTCCCGGAGGATGTCTGGAAATACAAGGAAGAGGCATGCTTAGTATACGCCAAAGCAATGTCCAAATTCCTCTAATAAGCACCAGTGGGTATTCAGGACTAAGCAGAGCCCCCTCACCCACAGCCCTTCCCCTTACTATCCCCCCACCCCCACCCTGGCGTGGAAAGACAATGTCCACAGGCTGATACTTAACCACCTGGGCAGCACACCCAGGCACTTAATGAGTTATTGCTGAATACATGTGAGTCTGAGTAGTGCTTCTCTCATGCATTTCCCTTTTTTCTCCTAAATATATAATAACTTTATTGAGATAATTCATGTACCATAAAATTCACCATTTTAAAAGTACACAGTTCAATAGTTTTAGTGACCCTATTGCCACAATCAAACTTAGAACCTTCTCATCACCCCAGAATAAAATCCTGTGCCAGTCGCTCTCCATTCCCTCCAACCACGGCAGCCATCCGTCTATTTTCTCTCTACACAAACGTACTTTTTCCTGGACATTTCCTATAAAAGGACTCATACAATACAATACGTCTTTTGTGGCTGGCTCCTCTCAGCATAGTGTGCTCAGTGTTCACCCATGTCATAGCATGTGCTAGTGCTCCATTCCTCCTTACAGCCAAATAATGCCCCATTGCACAGATAGACCACATTTTATCTATCCATTCGTCGGTTGAAGGGCATCTGAATTATTCCCACATTTTGGCTATTATAAATAATACAGATATAAACATGTATGTACAATTTTGCATGGATTTTTCTTGGGTATCGACCTAGGTGTAGAATTGCTGGATCATCTGTTTAACCTTTTGAGGAACTTAGCCTTATCCAATGCAGTGGTATCATTTTATGTTCCCATTAGCAGCATGTGAGGGTTTTAGTTTCTGTGCACCTTCACTAATACTTGTCACTATTATTTGTTATCTTTTTATTATAACTGTTCTAGTGGATGTGAAATGATATATCATTGTGGTTTGATTTGCATTGACAGTCACTGATATTGAGCATCTTTTCAGGGGCTTATGGGTCATTTGTATCTCTTTTTTGGAGAAATGAAAGTTCAAATCCTTTGCCCATTAAAAAAAATTATGGCAAAATACACATAATAAAATTTACCATCTTAACCATTTTTATATGTACAGTTCTGGGGCATTAAATAGATTCATGGTGTTGCCTTTGCCCATTTTTCATTGGGTTGTCTTTTTATTGCTGAGTTATGAGAGTTCTTTATGTTTCTAGACACAAGTTTCTTATCCAATATGTAACTTGAAAATATTTTCTCCCACTTTTTGGATTTTACCTTCTTTGGGTTGCCTTTTTCCTCTGAAACACAAACGTGTTTAATTTTTTCCAACATGTCTATTTTTCCTTTTTGTTGCTTGTGCTTTTGGTGTCATATCTAAGGAGGCTTTGTTTAACCTAAGGTCATGAAGATTTGCTCTTCTATTTTCTTCTAAGAGTTAGTTTTAGCTCTTACATTTAGGTCTCTAAATCACTTACATTTGAGTTGATTTTTGTGTATGGTGTGAGGTAGGGGGTCCAACTTCATTCTTTGCATGTAGCTATCCAGTTGTCCCAGTACCATTCATTGAAAAGACAATTCTTTCTCCCATTGAATGGTCTTCACATAGGCTAAGTGTGTCAGGAGAGGCCAACTCAGGACTTTGTAAGTCACTTTATCTCAATGCTTTGTAAGTCACTTTGGTGAAAGATCTTGAACCTGTTGATTTTCAGTTATGTCATCCATGATAATAGCATGGGAATCAGGGAGCCCAGCAAGATGTTGTATAGGCTGGGCCAGCTCACAGCCCGTCAATCACACTTACAAAAGCAACTCCAACCATCTCCTAGCAATAGGGGAGCTTATTTATAGCTCTTGTGTATAGACCTAGACATAAAGAAGACCGGGAGAACTTGTGCCACAGAACTGTACCTACTTAAATTCAACAGGATTTGCAAATAGCAAAGACAGATAACAAATGTGACATCCAATCAGCTCTGCCTATGTGGAGATTAAGCAATCCCCATCACCAAATTCCTAGTGATTTAGAGTTCAAATAACTTCCTAGCTTCTAAAGATACATTACGAAGAGATATATTACAAGAAGAATAAACTAGAATGGGATCAGTGAAATTCCTCTCAGGTATCATTATTAGCTATAAGATTTTGAGGGGGAAGAACTTTAATTTTAACATTTATTGCACGTATCTTGAAGAACAAGCACAGTGACGTGCACGCACTAAGAATAAAAAGACGAATAAGACAAGGTTTTCAGGGAATCTAGTCAGGCTTTAAACAATCATTCCAAGCAGGTTTATTTAAAGAAGCTTCAGTCTCCAAATGTGACTGTGTCTGCACAGCCTGAGCACGGTAACTTCATCTTCAGCGCGTTTCCTAAAGCGACACACAGGAACTCAATGTCCCTGCGCCGCGGTGTCTAATGCAGCCACGCCTAGATCAACACCTCTCAGAAAGGTGCTCTGCTCAGAACGACAGGCACAGCAGAGATGGGTTTCCTTTCTTTCTTTCTTGAATCATTTCTTAATAATGACTTGCTCTAATATTTGGCCTGAGAGCTCTTTTTCTCTCTTTACTCCCTTCCTTGGACAAATACAATTTCTCAAAAGAAAAAGAAAAAAAAAATCTCTCAGGCGTTTATCAGTTTCAAGAAGCAAAGCAGGGCGACCTACATCGGGGATACAACGCCCCCTGCCGAATGCAGCTGTCTTCTGTCGCGCGGTCCCCTGCTAAGCTCGAGACCGCCACCAGGGGGCGCCGCAGAAACGCTCAGGTAACGTGAGAAGCCCTAAATCCGTCAGGGAGCTTGTAACCGCCCCCCAACCACCCCCCCCCCACACACACACACGCACGCACGCGCACGCACCACCGCAGGAAGCATGTACTTACTGGCCAGAGTGGTGACGCTGCTGAGGTTCCCATCTCCACCCACGCTGTGTTATGGAAACAAACAAACAAACAAAGAATATGAAGGTTGAAAATGCCAGACACCACCAAAACAGAACTTTCTCCTTTGAGAAGCATCGTGGGGGCTTGGAGCCTGCCTTTTATTTATGATTTCAGTAAAAAACAAACAAACAAAAAACCTTGAAAAACAAACCAGGATACAGCAAACCCTCACCTCTCTGCCCACAAACTTGAACATCCAAACAAAAAATGGTCAGGACTTCGTTGATTTTTAACTAGGAGCGTTGACATTGGGGCAGGGATCCAAGTGGGCCCCCTCCTCCCCAACTTCCAAAGGGAAAGTGACCTTCCTGGCATGCTGGGTCCCGCCTCGGCCCCCTGGCCACTGCAGCTGCGCACTGCTGCTATTACTAAAAACACAGTACAGTTTGCCCTCGCCCTCTTCCTCTTTGGCTTGGGCAAACCCGTTTCCAAGGGTGTCTTCTGGACCGCAACCCAACTTCCTAGCCACGTCTAAAATTCCAAGGAAATCAGAGTTGGGTGAGATTCTAGGCATGAGACGTGCAACATTCCAGAGCTTACTGGATTCCCTGCTTTTCCATATTCCTTCTTTCTCTGCCGAGTATGTCTGGGAACATCTGAAAAATCTCAGTGTTTGGGGTTTAACTCTGTGCAGCATCACGAGGGAAGATGCCAGGGATTCAACACCCAGCTGGTGCCAGAGGCCAGATTCCAGGCTGAGGAACCGCCAAACCGGCCCTCTCATGCACTTGGAGCACAGAGGTCAGGCCTGCCCACTGGATTTGGTAATAGCCAGAGCAGGAGCAAGGCTGCGGGAAGCAGTGCACAACGGGGAAGCCACCAGGTTAAGTGCCAACAAGCACTTACTCCACTTGCTCTTTTACCACCTGGCTGTGTGATCTTGGACAGGTTACTTGCCTTCTCTGAGCATTGCTTCCTCTTCTGTAAACCAAAGGCCCTTTAATAATGATGCCAGCTGCCATTTATACCTACTTTGTGTCAGGCCCTGTAGCTGGGGTGCTTAAATTTTCTCTAATCCTCATAGCAGTGCCCATGCAGTATTATTATCCCTGCATCAACGATGAGGAGACGAGCTCAGAGAGGCTAAATAACTTGCCCAAAGTTGCACAGAGCTGGGTAGCCAGGGTTCAGACACAGCTCTAGTTCCAAAGGCTACTTCCTCCTTCCAGGAGTACTTCCCAGAGGGAGAAATGGAAGCTAGAGAAGCATCCCCAACCCAAACGCTCATGTAGTTTCTCCCCCAAACTCCCCCAGTCCCAGCTCCTGTTCTGGGAAATGCAGTGGTTTGGGGAAGCTGATAAATACTTTCCTTGAATTAAACCTTGAATTAAACTCATGAAAGGCAGTAGGTGGCTCATCCTTCAGCTGGGGGAATGGTTTTCTACCATGCCCAGGGGTCTTCGCAGCCCTGCCATGACATGGTCTTCAGGGCCTTGCCCACTTCACTCACCTCCAGGACAGGCCTCGATACTGAGTCAAGACGTCCAAGATGTCCCCAGGCTTGGACCCGGCCCCGTTTCCTGCCTGCGAGGGAGCAATAAGAAGGTGAGTTTCCTGCCCGCGGGCCAGCAGGTTCGCACCATTTTCAGAGGCGAGAGACAGCCCCTGCTGGGGGTCCTGGCCTGTCCACAGCCCAGCTCACCCGAAGAAACCCTGTCCAGACCAGCATCCAGTGCCACTAGTCTAGCAAAGTGCTCTGAAGATAAGACTGCGGTGCCCATTTTCCAAAAGGACACATTTCGGGGATCTATTTTCTTCATTAAAAAAAAAAAAAGTTGTGTAATCTGTCATAAAAGGAAACATACAGCAATTCCTTTATATCCCTATATCTCACATATGGACCACTTAAAAGTAGTCATCACATGAAATGCCATGTACCTACCCTTCAGCTGATGAATGGATAAGGGTCTTTTAAAGCCGCCATCTGGACCCTCTCTGCAGGTGCACGTCCCTCGCCTAAAGCATGTTATTTACGAGCAGGGCCATGCTAAAGGGCACGTGGAAGGCTGGCCTACCAGGCAGCCTGGGGAGGAGGGGGGCCTCTGTGAGAGGCCCCCCAGAGTGTGATCCCTGCTCTGGGGCCCAATTCCTCCTCCACCTGCCAGGCACGTCACATTCAAAGTTCTGGCCCTGCCTGGTGGTGTGGCTCAGTGGTTGAGCACTGACCCATGCACCAAGAGGTCGCCAGTTCGATTCCTGGTCAGGGCACATGCCCAGGTTGTGGGCCCCAATCCCCAGTGGGGACATGAGGAGGCGGCCAATCGATGTTCTGTCTCATTGATGTTTCTATCTCTCCCTATTCTCCATTCCTCTCTCCCTAAAATCAATAAAGAAAAAAGAAAAAGTGCTGCCCCTTTAGGAAATCCCGAACAACTCTGCCGATTCGTGATGACCCCTGATCCCCAGAGCATCTTCAAGGAGTCGGGGTGGAGAGAGAGTGGGGCCGGTGATACCAGGCCACACCTGGCAGGTGGTGGTTGGGGTACGCGGTATTAAGAACCAGCCTGCACGTCCCTCCCGGAAGGTTCTGAGCAGTGGGGCCTTTGGGGTGAAGAGTCACAGAGGGGTCAGGGGGGAGACGGCTACAGTCCAGGGACAGAACCCTGGCCCGCGTCAGGACCGTGAGTTCCGGCCCAGCACGCACAAGCTGTGTGCCGGTGGACACTCATTTTACTTCACTCAGCTTCGCCTTCTTTGCTGGTTGTTTAAGGAGAGTCAGACTTCACGGGATTTTGTTGAGGGTACTGAGATAATATCAGCGTGAACAGGCCACAGACAGGACAGGGGTCGGCTCGTCTTGGGGAACACTCGCTGGGGGCCCTGCACGCTCCTGACCAGCAGCGGGACTCTACTGAGCCTCTGTTCAATGGAAGCTTCCGTCCGGGAACCTCTGGGACACCCACCCCGGCTGGAGAAGGGCCTGAGTTGCCTTTTCAAGGACAGTGCTTTGTAGGGCCTGGGATGTCATCAGGGAGAGGCTGCAGAGCAGGGCTGGGTCATTTTCAGGAGCTCTGACTCTTCCACTGACCCGGTTCCTCACCCCTCGCCCCAACAGCACCCGTCTGGTCACCCCCTGCCCCTCCCTAACTCCACACGGGAAACTAAGCACCAGGTCTCTGAAGGAGAGCGCCTCCGCGGGGTGGGGGCGGGGTGGGGGCTAGTCAGGTTCCACTGTGCGATCTGGGCTGGTCGCCCATCACAGACGCTCCCTCTGGGACCCCCCTGCTCTCTGCTTTGTTCCAGCGCCGGGAGAGGAATGAGTGTCAAGTGAAGGTGGGGAGACGAGAGGGACCAGGAATGCCCGGTTCCTGGCAGGCGGTGGGGAGAGGGACGGCAGAGCAGGACCCGAGATGGCAACAATGAAGAGCTAGGAGGGAGGTTTTCTCTCTCCGGGCTCTCACTTGAACCCAGACCAGCCCTTCTCCTGCCCCTTCCCTCTACAGTTGGGGTAACTCACCGTGAGAGAGTCACCCAGGGCTGCAATCACCTTGATGTCCGCCAGCTTCAGCCTGTGAACTGAGAACCAAGCAGGAGTGAATGGCAGATCGGAGCTTCTATCTCCTCTGCAAACAGAGGAAGCCCTCCCAGGAAAACCAAGAGAAAGTCCATTTTTAACAAGCAATTCAGCTTGGACACAGATATTAAGAGGCCGTCCTTTTCATAAGGTTCAGCGACAGCCATGAGCCTGACTGCTGGCCCCTCCGTGGGGCACCTGGACACAGGGCCTGGGCTGGCAGGTGGACCAGCTCTCAGAGGGGGGTCAGCTGGCTTGTGATAAAACTGTGCCTCTAGGTGAGCTGTCATCCTCAGGGCATGACATAGCCAGGGACCATGTACTGTGGGACTAGGGAAGGCATTGTGGTGGACTTACAACCAATACTTCATCTATTCTAGGATCTGGACATATTTGGGATGATGTTTCATAGCCTACTTAAAAAGTTAGCTTTCTCTATGGTGAAAAGGGAAATGCTTTCATACCATTTTTTAGAAATCAAGGTGAAATTCATATAACATAAAATAACCATTTTAAAGTCAACAACTCAGTGGCATTTAGTGCTGTTTTCATAATATTGTGCAACCACCACCTCTGTCTAGTTCCAACATTTTCATTCCCTCAGAGGAGGCCTGTACTCATTCAGCAGTCCCGCCCCCCCCCCCCCCCCCCCAAATCCTGGCAACCACTGAGCTGTTTTCTGTCTATGGATTTGCCTATTCTGGACATTTCATACAAATAGCATTGTACAATACGTGGTCTTTTATGTCTGGCTTCTTCCACTTTGCATAATGTTTTCAAGGTTTGCCCATGTTATAGCATGTGTCAGTATTGCATTCCTTTTTATGGCTGAATAATATTCTATTGTATGGACATACCACATTTTGTATATCCATTCATCACTTGAAGGGCATTTGGGTTGTTTTTACCTTTTGACGACTGTGCTATGAACATTCATGTACAAGTATTTATTTGAATGAGTGTTTTCCATTATTTTGGGTACACACCTAGGAGTGAAATTGGTGGGTCATATGCTAATCCTATGTTTAGCTTTTTGAGGAATGGCCAAACTGGTTGCTACAGCCTGCCTCTAGTTTTTATTTCCTGAGTTTAAGCACATAATGTGATATGGCTAAGCAGTTGTCTACTCATGACAAACATCTTCGACAACAAGCAGGCAGGTGATAGAAAGCGTAAAGGATGGATGTGGTCTGGTAAAGCACAGACAGTTGTATGGTTTGGCTTAAGTGATGGGTATAGAAGGAGACTAACAAGAAAAACGTTGAATAGTAAGTAGGTTAAAGCCACAGGCCTTTTATGCCTGGTGAACATGACTATTACCTTACAGGGTGGAGCAAAAGTAGGTTTCCCATTGTTTGTATGGAATGTACAGTAACTAACAAATAATAATACAAGAATAAGCTCCATTTTGAGTACTCACATCTGTAAACCTCCCTGCCCCGCCCTGTGCATAGAACAACGTGCATGCGCACACCTGCACTATAGTTATCTACCCTTCACCTCACACACATAGGAACCTGAGTCCAAGTGCATTTTGGGGACCACACCTAAGATTCTTTATGCCATGTGTAGCTCTGTCCCCTCAAGTCACAAGCTCACCTCTCACTCCCCCCATCTCCCTCACTTTGCCATTGCTCCTTTTTCCTCTTGGATGTGTCCCCCCTTGGCTCTCTTGGGGTAGTGCTGAGCTAAATCAGCTCGCAGGCCTTGAGAGATATCTATACATTGTTTGCTCCAGGGCCACTCCCAGAGGGCAGGAGCCCCTCACTTCAGTGGGCCATTGCTGAAGGTGGGTCAGCTGAAACTTGTGTGCAGGGAAGCTTTCTCAACAGCTCTTTTTGCCAAGTCACTCTACAAACATGCAGAAACACACAGAGAATGAGATGTTTTGACACAACTGGGCTACGTATAGCTCACTTCACTCATCAACACCCAAATCATGACTGTATAATTATACCTGTGAAGGAAACTCTATTAACATTTAGTGGGAACAGTGTCTTGGTTTCCTTCCATGGAGACATCTTGTCTACCTGACTTCCACGCTGTCTGTGGATGGAGAACTGTCACTCTCACTGAGGAACTGCTCTCATTGGAAAAGTAAAAGTCCCTGCCTCTTCCTAGCACAGCATGCAAACAAACACATACATAGTTGTGAATGTGCATACACAAAATATATGGGTTCGTGGTCCCTCATATTTGAGCACGGATCACAATCATCTGGAGAGCTGGTTAAAACACAGAAGGTTCCCTGGCCAGTGTGGCTCTGTTGGTTGGACAACATCCCATGCATGGAAATGTTGCTGGTTCCATTCCCAGTCAGGGCACATGCCTGGGTTGTAGGCTCGATTCCAGTAAGGCAGCCAATCAATGTTTTGCTCTCACACGTTTCTTTCTCTCACTCTCCCTCTCCACACCCCCAAGAAAAATCAGTAAAAATATAAAAGGAACAAAACCACACAGATGGTTGGTCCCCACCCTCATATTTAGTCTCTGATTTAGTAGGTCTGCAGTGGGCCCAAGGATATGTGGTTAGAAGAACAATATCAAATTACAAAGCCCACTGCACACATTAGCACACAGCAACGGAGCTGAGCCTAAGAACTTTAAAGTGACCTCTTCTCAAAGAAATCAGGTTGTGGGTGAAAAAAAGAAAGGCAACAAAGACCCCCTCCCTCAACTCCAGAGGGTTCATTTTAGCTCCTGGTGATGACAGTCAAGCACCATATTCTTGTTGCCATAATGTGTAATACAGTGAGTTCTGTGAATGCTCTAGGGTATAAAGAGTAGGGGAAATCTTTGGGCCTGACAAATGTGGAAGAAATGGATATATTTGTATTAATAGAACATTACAATTTGATAAAGAGGCAGCTGAAACTGGCTATTTCTGTCTCCAAAATGTGTAGCAGTCAGAAAATACACACACACACACACACACACACATGCATGTATACATCTATGTGTATACAGATAGATTTATGTGTGGTGGGGGAGGGGATTTTGGTCATTCTAAAGGATTTCCTGTAAGAAATAATAAACCAAATGAGACAAGCCTAGATGGGAGAAGTTTGACTTATCTAGGATTTTATTAAGATAAAGCTCAACAGAAAAATGGCGGCAGAGTGAATGGAAGCTACACAGACCATCTCCCAGGACCAAACTGGAATTACAACTAAAATAATGACAAATAGTCAGGAAAAAGCAACTGAAGAGCAGCTTGCGAGGACCATATAACCAGGGACAATGACTCGATCCTGGTAGAACTGCGGAGGCATGAGAGGGGGGCTGGGAGCTCGCAGACAGCAGTGGCCTTACCTGTGAGCAGCACCCTCGGGGTTACACTCCCAAGTGGCTCCACAGCACAGAGCCGGGAAAGACGCTGAAATATCCACAGCCACTCACCTTGGGCACTGGCAGAGGGAGGGCAGACTGGACTGGAACTGTGTGGGGACATTCAGGATTTGGAGGGAGCTCAGAGCTTTTGCTGAGTTGCAGCCATGAAGAATGATGGCCATCTTACTCCTTCACAGGGCTCTGGGGAGAGGTGGTACCCCTCCCTCGGAGATTGAACCCCACCCAGGTGGGCCATTGAAATGCAAATTGAGGCTCATTAACAACCAGCATCTGCCCACCCTCAGGAAATCCCCTTACACTGAGCACCTGAGGGAGTTTTTTATTCAACTGAGAACTCAGGATTTTCAAGTAACCCCTACTGATAGCCTCTAGGCAAAAAGCTAGAGGATAACTGAACCATTCCTGGGCTAGCAACTCTAACCAGGAAAGTAAGACTTGACAGTGCTATTTAACGTGGATCCTCCTTCGTTCATTCAAACCCAGGAGAGGGAGCCACAAACAGCAGAACATCAACACCCACCAAAACAAAAAAAACAAACAAAAAAAAAATTGGGAGGCTTCAAAGCCCCCTATGATAGCCAAAATGGTGAAACAAAGAAACAAATGCCAAATGAAAGAACAAGAGACCTCTACCGAAGATGAGATAAATGAGGAGCAGTTAAGCAAGTTAACAGAGCTAGAACTCAGAACCATGATCTTGAAGAAGCTCAACAGCATGAGTAAGGACATAAACACCATGAGTAAAGACATAGAAATGTTGAAAATCAACCAACTGGAAATTAAAAACTACCAAGAAGAAATTAAGAATGACATATCAGAAATAAAGAACACATTGGAAGGTCTAAACAGCAGAGTAGAGGAAGCTGAGGACCGGGTCAGTGAATTAGAAGACAAGGTAGGAAAAAAATCAACCAATCAGAAAAACAAAAAGAAAAAACAATTAAAAAACAGGAAGACAGCTTAAGAGAACTGTGGGACAACTGGAAACGTAATAATATTAGCATCATAGTGTTAGCTCTAACTTCCATATTACTGCCCCAAGCCTCTTAAATCTTTTACTTTCATATTGATGCCCCAAGCCTCTTATCGTTTAACCTTGCCCTAAGCCTCTCATTCCAGGAAACCAAAACCCATTACTCTTATCATTTAACCTTGCCCGAAGGCTCTCATTCCAGGATACCAAACCCCATCACTCCAGTCAGGTGGAACTACCCTAACCCATCCAAAACTGCAAATGTCGCTCGACAAGAAAAACAAGTTTCAGGAGACCCCAGCCCCAACCAATTAAGAACGCAGGAGACACCAGCCCCGAATAATCAAGGGCAACCACGACTCCTCGGATGAACGTCCACCCACCCCAGCCCTAAACTTAAAAATCCTTAGTCTGGCTCTGGCCATTTTGGCTCAGCAGTTAGAGTGTTGGCCTGTGGTCCAGAGAGACCCCGGTTCAGTTCCCGCTAGGGGCATGTACCTCGGTTGCAGTTGTCCCTGGCCCTGGTTGGGTCGTGCGGGTGGCAGCCACTCAATGTGTTCCTTTCACATTGATATTTCTCTCTCTCTCTCTCTCTCTCTCTCTCTCTCTCTCTCTCTCTCTCCCCCCCCCTCCCTCCCTCCCTCCCTCCCACTCTGTCTGAACAAAAGGTGGAAAAAT